GGTAAATTCAGCAAAGTAGCAGGACACAAAAATCAACATACAAAAATCACAGATGTTCTAAGTACCAATAATGAAAACAGGAAAGTAACCCCATTCACAAAAACCTTTACAGAAATTAAATAAAATACCTAGAAATAAACCTAACGATAAAGGTAAAAGACCTCTACAATGAGAAATACAAAGCACTAAAAAAGAAACTGAAGAAGACACTAGAATTTAGAAAGACTTCCCATGTTCACAGATCGGTTGAATTAATGTTAAACTGGCCATAATATCAACAGTAATCTACACATTCATTTCAATCCCATCAAAATATCAATGGCATTCTTCACAGAAGAACAAGAACAATAACAAAAATTCTGTAATTCATATGGAAGCACAAAAGATCCTGAATAAACAAAGCAATCCCATGCAAAAAGAGCAATACTGTTTTTTGAAGCCAGAATACCTGATTTTTAAAATATGCTACAGGCCCATAGTAGCAAAAACAATATCATGGCATTGGCATAAAAACAGACACATAGACATATGGAATAGAATAGAAGACCCAGAAATAAACCCACACATCTACAGCCAACTGATTCTTACAAAGAGTCAAAAAAAAAAAAAAACTAAGAAACTAAGGAAAGAATATTGAAGTCTGTAAGAGAGAAAAAACAAGTAACATACAAAGGTAAACCCATCAAAATCACAACAGACTTCTCCACAGAAACATTAAAAGCAAGAAGGGCGTGGGGTGAGATCTTCTGGGCACTGAATGAAAATAACTTCAACCCCAGGATACTCTACCCAGAAAAACTATCATTCAAAATAGATGGGGCAATAAAAGTCTTCCATGATAAGCAGAAACTAAAACAATATCTGACCACAAAGCCACCACTACAAAAGATTCTTCAAGGGATTCTGCACACAGAAAGTGATACCCAACTTAACCATGAAAGGGCAGGCAGTACCAAACCACAGGAAAAGAAAAAGCAAGACAGTAGAGAGTAACCTCAACTTAGGTACACACAATCAAACCTTCAAACAACTAAGACAACTAAATGACAGGAATCACCACATACCTATCAGGACTAACGCTTAATGTTAATGGACTTAATTCACCCATCAAAAGGCACCACTTGATGAAATGGATTAAAAAGAAGATCCAACAATTTGTTGCTTACAGGAGACCCATCTCATGACAGAAATAAGCATAGGCTTAGGATGAAAGGCTGGAAGAAGATTTACCAAGCCAATGGCCCCGAAAACAGGCAGGAGTAGCAATACTTATCTCTGACAAAGTAGACTTCAAACCTACATTGATCAAACGAGATAAAGAAGGACATTCCATACTAATAAAAGGGGAAATAGACCAAAAGGAAATAATAATTCATCAACCTGTATGCACCCAATGTCAACGCACCCAATTTCATCAAACATACCCTGAAAGACCTAAAAGCATATAAACCCAACACAGTGGTTGTGGGAGACTTTAACACCCCATTATCATCAATAGATAGGTCATCCAAACAAAAAATCAATAAAGAAATCCAAGATCTAAAAATGCAATAGATCAAATGGACCTAGTTGATGTCTACAGAACATTTCATCCAACTTCTACACAATATACATTCTTCTCAGCAGCCCATGGAACCTTCTCCAAAATAGATCATATCCTAGGGCACAAAGCAAGCCTCAGCAAATATAAAAAATAGAAATAATACCATGCATACTATCTGATCACAATGCAGTAAAAGTAGAACTCAACAACAAAAGTAAAGACAAAAACATGCAAACAGCTGGAAACTAAATAACTCATTACTTAATGAACAATGGATCATTCGATGAAATAAAAGAGGAAATTAAAAAGTTCCTGGAAGTCAATGAAAATGAAAACACAACCTACCGGAACCTATGGGACACAGCTAAGGCAGTCTGAGAGGAAAGTTTATAGCCATGAGTGCATATATTAAAAAGACTGAAAGATCCAAATCAATGACCTAATGATACATCTCAAACTCCTAGAAAAACAAGAACAAGCAAATCCCAAAACAAATAGAAGGAGAGAAATAATAAAAATAAGAGCTGAAATCAAAAATAGAAACCAAAAAAAACCATACAAAGAATTAATGAAACAAAAAGTTGGTTCTTTGAAAAAATAAACAAGATCGATAGACCCCTGGCAAACCTGACTAAAATGAGGAGAGAAAAAACCCAAATTAGTAGAATCAGGAATGCAAAAGGGGAGATAACAACAAACACCATGGAAGTCCAGGAAATCATCAGAGACTACTTTGAGAACCTATATTCAAATAAATTTGAAAATCTAAAGAAATGGACAGATTTCTAGATACATATGATCATCCAAAACTGAACCAAGAGGAATTAATCACCTGAATAGACCTATAACACAAAATGAAATTGAAGCAGCAATCAAGAGTCTCCCCAAAAAGAAAAGTCCAGGACCTGATGGATTCTCTGCTGAATTCTATCAGACCTTTAAAGAAGAACTGATACCAACCCTCCTTAAACTGTTCCATGAAATAGAAAGGGAAGGAAAACTGCCAAACACATTTTATGAAGCCAGTATTACACTTATCCCAAAACCAGGCAAAGACACCTCCAAAAAGGAGAACTATAGGCCAATCTCCTTAATGAACATTGATGCAAAAATCCTCAACAAAATAATGGCAAGCCGAATTCAACAACACATCAGAAAGATTATTCACCACGACCAAGTAGTCTTCATCCCAGGAATGCAGGGGTGGTTCAACATACGAAAATCAATAAACGTAATAAACCACATAAACAGAAGCAAAGACAAAAACCACTTGATCATCTCAACAGATGCAGAAAAAGCCTTTGATAAGATCCAACACCATTTCATGATAAAAGCTCTAAGAAAACTAGGAATAGAAGGAAAGTACCTCAACATTATAAAAGCTATATATGACAAACCTACAGCCAGCATTATACTTAACGGAGAAAAACTGAAACCATTCCCTCTAAAATCAGGAACCAGACAAGGAAGCCCACTATCTCCACTCCTATTGAACATAGTACTGGAACAATGCAGGAGGTATCACAATACCTGATTTCAAACTATTTAACAAAGCAGTAGTAATAAAAACAGCATGGTACTGGCACAAAAACAGACATGAAGACCAGTGGAAGAGAACAGAGGACCCAGATATGAAGCCACACAACTATAACCAACTTGTCTTTGACAAAGGAGCTAAAATTATAGGATGGAGAAATAGCAGCCTCTTCAACAAAAACTGCTGGGAAAACTGGTTAGCAGTCTGCAAAAAACTGAAACTAGATCCATGTATATCACCCTATACCAAGATTAACTCAAAATGGATCAAGGATCTTAATATCAGACCCCAAACTCTAAAGTTGATACAGGAAAGAGTAGGAAATACTCTGGAATTAGTAGGTATAGGTAAGAACTTTCTCAACGAAACCCCAGCAGCACAGCAACTAAGAGATAGCATAGATAAATAGGACCTCATAAAACTAAAAATCTTCTGTTCATCAAAAGAAATGGTCTCTAAACTGAAATGAACACCCACAGAGTGGGAGAAAATATTTGCCAGCTATACATCAGACAAAGGACTGATAACCAGAATATATAGGGAACTTAAAAAACTAAATTCTCCCAAAACTAATGAACCAATAAAGAAATGGGCAAGTGAACTAAACAGAACTTTCTCAAAAGAAGAAATTCAAATGGCCAAAAACACATGAAAAAATGCTCACCATCTCTAGCATAAAGGAAATGCAAATTAAAACCACACTAAGATTCCACCTCACCCCTGTTAGAATAGCCATCATAGCAACACCACCAACAACAGGTGTTGGCGAGGATGCGGGAAAAAGGAACCCTCTTACACTGTTGGTGGAATGTAAACTAGTACAACCACTCTGGAAAAAAATTTGGAGGCTACTTAAAAAGCTAGACATGATCTACCATTTGATCCAGCAATACCACTCTTGGGGATATACCCAAAAGACTGTTACTCCAGAGGCACCTGCACACCCATGTTTATTGGCACTATTCACAATAGCCAAGTTATGGAAACAGCCAAGATGCCCCACCACTGACGAATGGATTAAGAAAATGTGGTATCTATACACAATGGAATTTTATGCAGCCATGAAGAAGAACGAAATGTTATCATTCGCTGGTAAATGGATGGAATTGGAGAACATCATTCTGAGTGAGGTTAGCCTGGCCCAAAAGACCAAAAATCGTATGTTCTCCCTCATATGTGGACATTAGATCAAGGGCAAACACAACAAGGGGATTGGACTTGAGCACATGATAAAAGCGAGAGCACACAAGGGAGGGGTGAGGATAGGTAAGACACCTAAAAAACTAGCTAGCATTTGTTGCCCTAACGCAGAGAAACTAAAGCAGATACCTTAAAGCAACTGAGGCCAATAGGAAAAGGGGACCAGGAACTAGAGAAAAGGTTAGATCAAAAAGAATTAACCTAGAAGGTAACACACACACAGGAAATAATGTGAGTCAACTCCCTGTATAGCTATCCTTATCTCAACCAGCAAAAACCCTTGTTCCTTCCTATTATTGCTTATACTCTCTCTACAACAAAATTAGAAATAAGGGCAAAATAGTTTCTGCTGGGTATTGAGGGGGGAGAGGGAGGGGGCGGAGTGGGTGGTAAGGGAGGGGGTGGGGGCAGGGGGGAGAAATGACCCTAAGCCTTGTATGCACATATGAATAATAAAAGAAAAAATATAAAGTAGAAGAGACACTATTAGGGAATGGGATGGAGACATGCCAGGGAAGGAAGAGTAAGCAAGGGTAGAATGAAGGGTGATCATGGTCTAAGCATGAATATATATATATAATGTATGGACAAATCACATTAATGTGTACAATTAATATACATTAGTATAGTTTGTTAAAAAAGAAATCATTCTGGTGAGTACTATTTGATGCATATAAAGAATCATCCCACCTAACAAAACCAGTTTAGCCCATTCTTTACCTCATGTCACCCCTTTCTTCCACATTCCCAGATTTGACCAATATGGGAGCTGGCAGTAGAGGGCTTGACATTAACTGTGCAGAGGCATCAGTGAATTCTTCTGCTGCACTGGTTGGGATTTCCACCAGAGTTAAAATGAATGCTTGTTCATCATCTCCATCTTGATGTATATTAGAAAAAAGATTCCCTAAAAAAGTTTAAACGTAATGAAAAGCTAAACCAGAAAGTAATGCAGTATCATTATTTCTCTCTAAAGAAAGTCTCAGACAACTTATCACCTTGAGTAAAAAACTAAATTATACCTAACTCCCCAAAAGTAATTTCATAAAGAGTGAACATGATATATTACAGGAAGAATTTGTAATTCTGAATAACAAGGCTGATATACAAAACAACTAGCCATAGACTTGAAAAAACACTTCTGTGTTTTTCCCACATTAAATGTAAAATCCATACTATAAGGTTCTATGATAATTCACTGAAACAAATTATCATACCTGCTAGGTCTTGAGGATCGATTACATTCTCTTGTTGAACTTCGGGAACACTAGCTGTTGAACACTGCCACAGAAAGTTAAAAGAAAAGAGTTAGATTTGAAAAAGTTTCCCTTATGCTTTGATACACAGTGAAGAGACACTGTTTCAAAAATCAGTAACTTAGCCTAAACGTACATAATTTTTCAAATGTTTTAAAGACTATAGATGTGCCAATAAAAGTTTGATTCATTTAAATAAACATAAAAACAAATGATTAAATTGTTAAATATGTTTATTCTAGGAGAAGATTTTTGACATGTCAGGACAGAGAGATCCAAACCCTTCAACTATCTCCCCACTCCCAACAAAGTAGCCACGCTATTCTGAGTGGGTGACAGCTGGAATGGTAGCAAACTGCTCTCCTTCCCTCCAATCTCTTTTCTTCAAAACCCCTAATATCCCAATTTTAATTTTCTAATCCTTAAAATCTTAAAATGTCCATTCTGCAACCAGCAAATGTTGGACAAATTCCTAATATAGATTAGAAAAGATATCCTTTTTTTCCTCCTTGGTGGGACTGGGATTTGAACTCAGGTCCTTGCACTTTCAAAGCAGGTGCTCTACTGCTTGAGCCACACCTCCAGTTCAATTTTTACTCTGGTTATTTTGGCAATGGAGTCTCGCAAATTATTTGCCAGGGCTGGCCTTGAACTGCAATCCTACTAATCTTAGCTTCCCAAGTAACAAGAATTACAGACATGGACCACCAGAGCCTCGCTGAAAAGATGTTCTTATAATGAAGAAATCAAGCAGGCAGCAATCTAGCCAAATGACTGCTCAGTACCATCAGTAACAGACAAATTGACAATATGTGTATCTTGATGTGATGAGAAGAGAATATAACATCACCTATGTAATCATCTTACACAAAAACTGAATCCAATAATGAGAAGGCAATTAAAATTATCAACTAGCCTAGACCCATCTAAAATGTCAAGTTCATAAGAAAAGAACTATTAAAACAGACTATAGGAGAGGATGAAGAAATGACCACTAAATGCAGTTAGACAACCTTGCCTGCATCCTGAGTTTAAAAACAAAACAGCTATAAAGGACATGATAAGAAAAACTGGGGAAACTTGAAGGAAAATTGTGTATTACGGAATATCATTGAATCAATGTTAAATAATACACTGAGTGTGAGAACAGTACTATAACCTCTGTGAAAGAGAACATCATTGTTCTTATTAAAGATGTATTTACAGGTTAAGATTTGTGTTTGCAATTTAAGTTTCAAATGGTTCAAGTTTTTTGAAGCATATATTTAACTATAAAGACCAAGACAGAAAAAAAAAAGTGATGCAAAATATTAACAATTAATGAATGCAAGGAAAAAGGTACAGGAGAGTTCTCTGTAATATTCTTTTACCTTCTGTCTAGGAATAAAATTATTTAAATACAAAAAGTAAAAAGTAAAAAGTTGCGTGTGGGAATCATATAACTCTGGGTGTAGCCAAACTCCTTAGCAAGTCATAAAAATCCTTTTATAGTCTGTCTGCAAACTACCTTTCTAACTACAGCTCTAATCACGTTCTTTAACATGTCATGCTGCTCCATACCTATTTTTTAATCAAGTGTTTCATTTATAATTTTTCATGTTATTTACATATTTATCTACACAACTATATCAAATGCCAAAGGGAAAAAACTTTCTTTTTGGCAGTACTGGGGTTTGAACTCAGGGCCTCATGCTTGCTAGGCAAGTGCTCTACCACTTGAGCCAATCCACCAGCCCATCTTGTGTGGGATATTTTCGAGACAGGGCCTCGTGAACTGTTTTTCCCAGCAAGCCTTGAATTGTCATCCTCCTGATCTCTACCTTCTGTAGCTAGGATTATAGGCATCAGCCACCAATGCCCAGATCTTTGATCACACCTAATTTTTTTGACACACATTTTCCTTTTAACCCCTAATTTTTACTCCAAAATACCCAGAGCGAAATGACATGAAGGTGAGGCTCAAGTCATAGAGTGCCTGCTTTGCAAACACAAAGCCCCGAGTTCAAACACTGGTCCTACCAAAAACAAACAAAAAACACATTTATATACTCATATGTCTCCACAGACTTGTATCCCAGTATCTTACACAGATGCCTCAATAAGCACTCACTCTGGGAATTAACTGAGATCTAGGGGCTAAGAAGCAAAACATGAATTCTCTCTGAACATGTTTCCCTTATCAAAGCTTCTACAACAAAGCTGGGCTTCTACCCTCTGGAGACGAAAAATACACTTAGTTAAAATTCTATTACAAGGGGCTAGAGATGTGGCTCAAGTGGTCCAGCTCCTGCCTAGTAAGTGCAAAGACCTGAATTCAAGCCTCAGTACCAAAAGCAACTCACAAAACATTCTTTTGTTATCGTTGTTATTTTTGTTCCCCCGCCCCAGCCCCGGCCGCTTTTTGAGACAGGGTGTCATTGTACTGCCCAGGGTGGCCTCAAATTTCTAGGTTCCAGTGATTCTCCCACATCAGCCACCCAAGTAGTTAAGATTGTACATATCTGCACATATCTGGCTCACAATGCATTCTTGCCAACAGGGAAAATGGATCCTGATCACAAACAGCCAGTACAAGGAAGAGAGGAGACCATCATAGGACACCAGGGAATTACTGGAGTGTTGAACTATTTATGGATGGGGTACAAGAATCTATATATTTGTAAAAACTTGTTAAAACTAGAAAGAGTGAAGTTTACTGTATGTAAATTCTACTTTAATTTTTATTTTTAAATGGTGAGAACAACACCTGCTACCCTTCATTACAATCCACATTCTTTTACCTCTGACATATGAAGCGTGAGCACACTATCTCCTTTACAGTCCTTTCTCAGGGGCTCATCAAGAGAACTTTCACCAAGACCCCAATTCGAACCAAGTACGTGGGGCCCTGCCTGAGAAGAAACAATTGGAACAACCGACAATATCTGAACCCCTTGACATCTCTCTTCTTGATCTTCATTTCTGAAAGACAGTTTTAGTACATTATTTGAAATTAGACACCCAACCATAGAATTATTCTTAGAGCTAGGTACATCAGACATCAATTAATTTAATGGTTTTTGATCTATTAAAATATATTTAATGCAACAAAACTCTGCTTTTAAATCAAATTCTCACTGCTAAAGCCTATGGCAAAAGCTGAAACAGAATAAAAACTGAATCCCAAAAGCTTTTCCCTGTTTTACCTTTCAGTTAGGTTTGCTTCTTGTGAAATACTGGTCCCTCTGATATCATGTACACACGCCAACTGGTTCTGCTCCTTACTCTCTGCTGTTGTGACTGGCCAAAGGTTTTTATCTTCCAATTCTGTTGCTTTGGAAGCATCTTTCTCAGTTTCTTAAATAAAAACACATATTAGATATAGTTCAAAATAGCATAGCTAAAATAACTGCAGTAGAAACATATTCTCTCTTAAAAGACAAGTCACTATGTGGGACTCCTCCAAACCTCTCTTAATCCAAGTATCAGTTTATTCACATAGCAAAAGAATGGCTCTTGCCAAGCAATTTCTGAATGTAAAGCAAATGATTAACAAATCCTGCACTGCCTAAGTTTTACTACTCCTGAGTATTGTATTCCCACTCTGTGGAAATAGTGAAATAGTACCATAATTTAAAATAGCATTGTTTCTAAAAAGTCACTCAGAGCTTTATGGCAGTGGCTCATACCTATAATCCTAGCTACTCGGCTGGCTGTGATAGGGAAGATCATAGTTCAAGGCCAGCCCTGGCAATTAGCTCTTGAGATCTGACCTTCAAAAAAAAAAAAAAAACCAGAGCATAATGGACTGGAGATGTGGCTCAAGTGATAAAGTGCCTGCTTAGCAAGTATGAACCCCTGAGTTCAAACCCCAGACTCACCAAAAAAAAAGAAAAAAGCCAAGGTTTATTTGTAAGTGCTGGCTAGTTCCACCTTAGAAGAGGTTTTGGGGGAGCATTATTTATGGCAAATAACAATGCCACAAAGGGGAAGGAAAATACTTCTACAAAAAAGAAGCAATTTGCTGGGAGTGTGGTTCAAGTGGTAAAGCATTTGCCTACTAAGTCCAAGGTCTTGAGTTCAAATCTCAATATCACCAAAAAAATAATAATAATAATAGTGATCTAGGAAGCAATTTGAGGCCTGCAGACTGAAAACGCTTTTGGATACTGCCAAAATCAGCACAACAACAAGTTAACTAACTGCACATGCACACTCACCACAGGCATTTCTGACTGAAAGAAAATTCTAAAAATTCAGAACTTGAAAAAGGGAAAAAAATGACTGCACATATTCACATCTGTCAGGCATGGGCACAACATAACCCAGGCAGTCTGCAGCCTGCACTGGTTTTCCTGGTCCTACTACTATCACTCTAAGGCATTACAGCTTTGGCAAGGGGATGTGCAAGAGAATGGAACTAGGCGTTAATATATACATATCATAATATAGTGAGGCTTTTTTTTTTTTCTTTGACAGCCCTGGGGTTGGAACTCAGACCTCAGTATTGCTAGGCAGGCACTCTGCCACTTGAGCCACTCCATCAATCCTACAATGAGGCGATTTTTTAAGAAAATGAAATAGGGTTCTATATAATCATATTGGAAAGGTTTTTTTTAGTGTATTAAGCTTTAAAAATATTAAAAAAGAATGTTTTGGGGTTTTCTTTGGTGTTGAGGGTTGAACCCAGGATCTTCTCTCATACTAAGCACACACTCTACCACAAAACTATAACTCCCATGAATTCAATAAAAAGGCAACACAATTTTTTTTTAAAAGTACATGCTTGACAGTTTTCAAGATACATAAGCAAATGAAAAGATACAGAACATTAAAGTTGGAGGTGTGGTTCAGTGGTAGAACACTTGCCTAGCATGTATAAGACCCTGGGCTTAATCCCAGCACCACAAAGAAACAAACAAAAAGATATAACATCATCAGCCATCAGTAAAACATAAAACAGAACTTCAATGAAATACCACCTCACACCAAGATAGCTGTGATCAAAAAGATGGAAAAAAAGTATGTGGGAGAGCCTGGGATGTAGCATAGTGACAGAGTGTTTGCTTAGCAGACATGAAGCCCTGTATTCAATCCCCAGCACCACCAAAAAAAAGGGTGGGGGTGGGGGTAGCAATCTGGGAGGATGCAGAGAAACTAAAATTCTCATAGAAGCTGGTGAAAATATAAAATGATATAAAATGGCGTCACTTTTTTCTTTAAATTTACTTTAACTTATTAATAAAAACATAAAAATGATAAATATGTAAATGTCACTATTCCACAAAACAGCTTAACAGTTCCTCAGAGGATTCAACAGTAGGGACTGTGGGTGTAGCTCAGTGGCAGACAGCATGTGCAGCAAGTATGAAGGCCCGGCTTCAATCCTTAGTACCAGTCAGGGAAAGGTTACACACAGAATTACTGTATGTCCTAGTAATTCCATTTATGAATATAAACCCAAGAGAAACCTACATCCACCTAAAATGTATACTTGAAGGCTGAGCATGGTGGTTAAAGTCTAGAATCCTAGCTACTCAGGATCCCAGTATGAGGCCAGACCAGACAAAAATGTCCAAGAGACCCCATCTCAACCAATGGCTAGACAAAGTGGTGCACACCTGTCTCCCAGCTACCCAGGAAGCATGAATAGGAGGATCCCAGCCAGCCTAGGCATAAAGCAAGATCCTATCTCGAAACTAACCAACTCAAAAAGGGCCATCTGAGTGGCTCAAGTGATAAGAGTACTTGCCTAGCAAACTTAAAGCCTTGAGTTTAAACCCAAGTACCACCAAAAAAAAAAAAAAGAAAGAAAGTATATACACTATAGCAGAAAGATAAAAACATCCCAAATGTCCATCAACTCTTCAGTGGATAAACAAAATGTAGTATGCATATGTGTGTGTGTGTGTGTGTGTGTATATATACATATATATATATGTATATATATACAATGAAATATCAACTGGCAATAAAAAGAGATGAAATATTTCATATATGCTACCATATAGATTAACCCTGAAAACAGCAAGTTGCTAGATTCGACCACATATTGTGTGATTCTATTTAAGTGAAATGTCTGATGATCCTATACCTCAAAGACCCAAAAAACTCCACCCAAAAATTCCTAAACACCTTAAACAGCTTCAGCAATGCAGAAGGATACAAAATCAACTTTAAAAAGTCACTAGCCTTTCTATACACCAACAATGAACAAAATAAGAAGGAATATAGGAAAACAATTCCATTTACAATAGCCTAAAAAAAAATCAAATACCTAGGAATAAACTTAACAAAGAATGTAAATGACCACTACAAGGACAACTGCAAACCACTGAAGAAAGAGACTGAGGAAGACTATAGATGGTGGAAAGATCTCCCGTGCTCATGGATTGGCAGAATCAACACAGTTAAAATGGCTATCCTACCAACAGCAATCTACATGTTCAACGCAATTCCCATCAAAATCCCAATGACATTCATTACTGAGACTGAAAAATCTACCCTAAAGTTCGTTCAGAAACACAAAGACTGCGAATAGCCAAGGCAATACTCAGCAAAAAGAGCAATGCTGGAGGTATCACAATATCTGACTTCAAACTATCTACAGAGCCATAGCAATAAAAACAGCATGGTACTGGCACAAAAACAGATATGAAGACCAGTGGAATAGAATAAAGAACCTGATATGAATCCACACTGCTATGCCTACTTTATTTTTGACAAAGGCACCAAAAACATACGATGGAGAAAAGACAGCCTATTCCACAGATGATGCTGGGACAAATGGTTTTCTGCATGCAGAAAACTGAAACTAGATCCATGCCTGTCACCTTGTACTAGTGTCAACTCAAAGTGGATTAAGGACCTTAATATCAAACCCAAAACGTTGCAGTTAGCACAGCAAAGAGCAGGGAATACTCTGGAAGCAATAGGTATAGGCAAGGACTTCCTCAGTAGAACTCAAGCAGCCCAGCAACTAAGAGAAAGGATGGACAAATGAGACTACATGAAATTAAACACCTTCTCCACAACAAAAGAGATGGTCTCTCTATTGAAGACACCATCCACAGAGTGCGATAAAATCTTTGCTAGCTATGTATCAGACAAGGGACTGATAACGAGAATATACAGAGAGCTCAAAAAAACTAAACTCCCCAAAAGTCAATGAACCAATAAAGAAGTGGGCAACTGAACTAAACAGAATTTTTCAAAGGAAGAAGTCCAAACAGCCAAAAAACACATGAAAAGACGTTCACCACCCCTGGCCATGAAGGAAATGCAAATCAAAACCACACTAAGATTCCACCGCACTCCTGTTAGAATAGCTACAATCAAGAATACCACCACCAACAAATGTTGGCAAGGATGCAGGGAAAAAGGAACCATTACACACTGCTGGTGGGAATGTAAGCTAGTACAACCACTATGGAAAACAATATGGAGGCTTCTTAAAAAACTAAACAAAGATCTGCCATATGATCCAACAATGCCACTCCTAGGGATATACCTGAAGTAATGAGACTCAGGTTATTACAAAGGCACCTGAACACCCATGTTTCTTGCAGCACTATTCACAATAGCCAAGCTTTGGAAACAGCCAGGTTGCCCCATTACCGAAGAATGGACTAAGAAAATGTGGTACTTATACACAATGGAATTTTATTCAGCCACAAAGAATGAAATTTTGTCATTTGCAAATACTTGGGTAGAACTAGAGAACATTATCTTAAGCGAAGTTACCCAGGCTCAGAAGGCCAAAAATCACATGTTCTCCCTCATAAGCAGATTACAGACCTATAGACCTAAACAAATGCAGATATTATTGGGCATGGAGTCACACACTAAGGGGAGAACGCGCACGGGAGGAATACGGACAGTAACAGAACCTAAAACTTGAATGTGGTTGATGTACTCAGTGTATAGGAGCGAATAAAGTAATCCTAAACTGGCAGAGGCCACTATGGGGAGGGTATTAGGAGGTAGTGAAGAGGTCTGGTAGAGATGAACCAATGTGGGTTGCAGTACACATGTGCATGGAAGCAATGCTAGGAATCTCTGTATAGCTATCTTTTTCTAAACTAGCAAAAATGCTATGTCTTTTTTATTATCACTTATGTTTTCTCTTCAACAAAATCAGAGACGAGGGTGGAATAGGAACTGCCTGGAAAAGGAGGGTGACACCCCAAACAATGTATATACATGTGAGTAAATGTAAAAGCAATAAAATAAAAATAAATAAATGAAATGTCCTAAATAGGCAATCTATACAGACAGAATGTAGACTAGTGGTTGCTTAGGATGGGGAGAACTGAAGAGCAACTACTAATGATGATGATTACACGATGATCTAGTGCAAACACTAACCACCACTGAACTGTACACTTTAAATGGGTAAGCTTATGGTATGTAGATTATAACTCAATAAAACTATTATTAAAAAATTTTGTATAGACAGGAGCTCACTAACTGGCCCAGGATGGCCTCAACCTCAAAATTTCCTGCCTCCACCTCTAGAGTGCTGGGATTATAGGTATGTACCACCATCCCTAGCTCTAAAAATTTTTTTTAATTAACATAGCATTGTATGTTTTTATTGTGTACACATTTTAAAGAATATATACACTGTGGAATGAAATCTAGTTAACAAATACATTACCTCATATATCCCTTTTATAATGAAAACACATAAACATCTACTCTCTTTACACTTTTTAAGAATACAATATATTTTATTTTAAAAGTGTTTGGCAGAGTATACAATATGATATGAATATTATTTTTGTTCTAAAAGAAATATACATTATAAATATACATACATTCTATATTTAAGTTTATATATATGAATGTGTATATACATATATATATACGAGGAGAGAGAGAGAGAGAGAGAGAGAGAGAAATAGATACACCATTTACATTATGTATGTCTTGAACATTTCTGAGATGGGTAGAGAAGGAGGGAAAAAAAGAAATAAACAAAGAAGGTTTTACTTGTCTTCTCTCTAGAAAGCAGTGGCCTGTTTTCAGACTATTGAAAATGTACTTCTTTCCTAATAAACATACCATCATTTTCACTAAAAATAAATAAAGTATTTCTGGAAGACTACAATAAGACTATTAATAGCAGTTTATTAGGAGACTAGGACTCAAGAAAAGAAGGAATTTTTGTTTCTTAATTTCATGCCTTTGGGGCACTATCTTGTTTTTGTTTTGCAGTTTTGTTTTATTTTGAACTCAGGGTCTCACTCTTGTTAGGCAGGCACTTTACCACTTAAGCCACTCGTCAGCCCTTTTTCATGTTGAGTATTTTCAAGATAGGGTATTGAAAACTATTTGGCTGGGGATGGCTTTGAACCTCAATCCTCCTGATCTCTGGCTTCTTACTAGCTAGGACCACAGGCCTGAGCCACTGGCACCCCACCACTGTCTTCTTTTTTGCCACATGCATACCTTTCTTTCTTGGAAGTAATGGGGATTGAACTCAAGTGTCTCGATCTTGCTAGAAAAGCACTCTACCACTTGAGTCATAACGCTTTTGCTTTTAGTTTGTTTTGCAGATAGGTCTGTAGCTTTTGCCCAGACCAGCCTTGGACATCCGCTTCCCAAGGATCTGGATGCACCACCATGCCCAGTTAGTTTCAGTTTAGTTTAGTTACTAAACTGGGATTAAAGGTGTGAACATCACACTCAGACCTCACACATGCCCTGTCAAGGAATGTTTGCTTAACTATTTGATACACATACACACAACAAACTGAGCAAGCAAAGAGATACCAATGACTATGGCTATCATAGTTTGGGGATTTATGAACATTTATTTTATAGTTCATCTTACTTTCTGTACATTTGAAATATTACAGAATGTTAAAATAATTAACCACTGAATATCCCTGTGAGTGCTAATGCAACTTCTTGTGCCAATATAATTTTGTAACTCCTCAAAGGAAAATAAAATTTACCTCCTTGAATTTCCACTTCTTTCCCATCTGGACCTTCTTGATAAGCATCAAACCTATTGGTCCCTAAAATCTCAAGATTCGGCTCAGGCTTAAATCGACTTCTCATTCTTAAATTATTGGTCACTTTGGAAGCTGCATTCCTGGGTGTAAAAAAGTAAGAGAAATTTACCAGTTGTGTTAAGCATCCCCTTGTTCTCTCACAGTAATGCATTCTGTCTAGCACTGCAGCAGCTCATGCTCCATTTTTCTTATATGTAAGTGCTTTTTTTGTTCTTTGGTTTTTGTTTTGTTGAAAGAATTTCCCTAAGTAGTCCCTGATCACTTCAGACTCTGGATTTTTCTGCCTCGGCATCTCACATGCTGGAATAACAGATATACACCACAACACATTTCTTAATGCTACATTTACAAAGTAGTAAATTTACTAAAGGTATTGAGTTGAAAACCTCAACCACATTTGTAAAACAGATATTTGCATAAATCTACTTCATTAATGCTTCATTAATATAATACATACTACTATAATTTTAATATGCAAACCACTAAACCATTAAAGTCTAAATCAGAAATTAACATTGCCTACTTTAAATTTATACCAAGAATTACTCAAAGCTATTAATTAAACTGATGGTGGGTTTAATTATATTTATTAATTGAACGCTAAAATAAACCTGGTTGATGTAGAGTTTTCCTTTACTTCCTCCATTAAACCAACTTCTTCTTCAGTACTTTGTTCCTCCGACACAATCTTGTTTTCTTCAAATGATGCAGGAGATGTACTAATGACACATGAAGAAAGTTCCTGATATTCATGATTAATTTTATGATTTACATTATCTGGGCTAAAACGCATATGACTTTCATCCTTCGAATGAACATCAGGAAAAACACATACACCTACTGCAGAAGAAAACAGGAAATTAAAATTGACTCAATATAAACAGATATCCAAATAAAATGAATTCTTCAACATTCAATAATTGTCAAATTCTACATTATTACTCAACTAAACTTTGCTCTCTGTGACTCCTAAGTTAAACTCATGACTTCATATTTCATGTTAGAGATCTGATCTGTAATGAATTTAATAATGTTTATGACTGGTATTTTATGCTATTTTAGATAAAAATTAGTCCTTTTGTTATTTTCAACAACCACATAACCCCAGACAAATTTCAAAGTAGGGCTGGCCTCATTTATTCATTTTTAAAACTTGTATTTTACATCCTAGAGATCTGTCAGGCTCCACTACCACTAAGAAAGCTCTCTGTGGAACACAAATCAGAAACTTTACTGGTAACAGGACAGTTTACCAGGAAATGAGCTAAAAGTTTAACAACTAAAATGAATGGTAAGGCAGTCATGGCCAGTCAAAATAATTACCAGGAATACAATGTGCATAATTATTCACTTAATGTACTTAAAAATAATGAACAGCCCAATACAGTAAAAATCAAGATTGGTGTATCTTTTGGCTCCTTCCAAGCCCTGGGAATAGTTTAAACTCAATTATCTAAGGGACTGCTATTACCCATTCATGTCATGTATTGGAAAGACCATCTCAAGCAGCAACTCCTTCACTAAAGAAACATATGAAGTGACCAATGAGCTCAAGCAACCAGTGAAGTTTATGATGATCAGGTAAAGGTTAATCCAGTAGATACCGGATTAACTATTCCATGAATGCAATTTTTTCATAAAAAACCAAGTACACTATCAAAATGATTGCCACTATACCTAAAGATGCTAAATAGTGGATGGATAAATACACAAATGTTAACTCTTATGGAAAAACAACACGATGACAATTTCAGATGTAAAATATGGGTATAAATCTGTAACAGTTAAGATTTTAGGTTTTTTTCCTTTTGGTAGGGCTTATCTTGCACTCTTACCTTCCCCATGCTCAGCACTGATCTCTGACTGCAATACTATCTCTCCCATTGTAAGTAAGGTTATAGCAGCTTCAGTGCTTCCGTCACTGGGACCTTAAGGAAGCATACCAACATTAAAATGGAAGAATGAATCTGGAAATCTGTTTAATTAAAAAAGATTGTGAACTCAGGTGTTTATCTTCTAGCAATATGTTTTAACATCCTCTGTACCACTATTCCTTTATTAGTGTGGTGTTCTGTTCAGGCTATATATGATTTTTTAAAAAATCATTAGTTGTTGGCTTTCACTTACTTTAGACACACTACCTCCTTTAAATAATCCTTCTAGAGTTTTTGTTTCCATTATGTTTCTTTTTCTCTCTCACCCCGCCTTGTCTATACTTTATCCTGTTATACCAAAATAAATCCTTGCTAAAACATAAAGATAATAATAATAATCCTTCAAAACAAATGTTCTCATCTGTGCAGATCCACAGGAACTCTCAATACTTCTTTATTAAACATGTAACTCTTCAATAACCTTCTAAAGTTTTATCCCAAGAATCTAAGTTTCTCACAAAAATAACATATCCAACAGCTGTATCTTTCTGGTCACCTCTCCAGCAAACGACCTCATTTACCTATCACCACTGGTGGGTGTCTGTGCTAGTGCTAACCAAGTAGATTTAGCAGCTTCCTTGTTAACAATTACCTGGTTCATCTTGGGTCTGTTCACCTAAGGTCATTCCCTAAAAGAGGAAAAAATAAGTAAAATCATTTCCCCAAAACATACATTCTGTATTTTTAAAGATATTTATAGAATTTTATAGCAATATAATTTTTTTAATTTAGGATTCTTCAAAAAATTTCACAAATAAGAACAGAAATAACTTAATAGCCATATTGTTTTATCTTTTTTTTTTCATTTTTCTTTTATTATTCATATGTGCATACAAGGCTTGGTTCATTTCTCCCCCCTGCTCCCAACCCCTCCCTTACCACCCACTCCGCCCCCTCCCTCTCCACCCCCCCCAATACCCAGCAGAAACTATTTTGCCCTTATTTCTAATTTTGTTGTAGAGAGAGTATAAGCAATAATAGGAAGGAACAAGGGTTTTTGATGGTTGAGATAAGGATAGCTATACAGGGCATTGACTCACATTGATTTCCTATGCTGTGCGTGGGTGTTACCTTCTAGGTTAATTCTTTTTGATCTAACCTTTTCTCTAGTTCCTGGTCCCCTTTTCCTATTGGCCTCAGTTGCTTTTAAGGTATCTGCTTTAGTTTCTCTGCGTGAGGGCAACAAATGCTAGCTAGTTTTTTAGGTGTCTTACCTATCCTCACCCCTTCCTTGTGTGCTCTCGCTTTTATCATGTGCTCATAGTCCAATCCCCTTGTTGTGTTTGCCCTTGATCTAATGTCCACATATGAGGGAGAACATACGATTTTTGGTCTTTTGGGCCAGGCTAACCTCACTCAGAATGATGTTCTCCAATTCCATCCATTTACCAGCGAATGATAACATTTCATTCTTCTTCATGGCTGCATAAAATTCCATTGTGTATAGATACCACATTTTCTTAATCCATTCGTCAGTGCTGGGGCATATTGTTTTATCTTACTCCCAACTGTACCCTTTTTCTTAAATAGATATTTTGGATGTACATATTGCCATGTATATGTAACCATTCTTGCTTCTTCACTTCATAATCCTTCAACTATAATCAAATCTGCTACCAACTTTTACAAAATGGAAACCAAAGTGTGAAGAGTATCAACAAATTTTTTTATACTACTAGGTGGTGTAAAACTGAAAGGAATTATTCTCCCCCCACCCCGTACCCCATACCCCTTACTGGGGTTTAACTTGGGGCCTTAAACTTGCTGTACAAGTGATATACCACTTGAGCCATTCTGCCAGCTCTTTCTGTGTTGGTTAGTTTTGACACAGGGTCTCATTTTATTGTGATTCCCTGTGTAACTGGGATGATGGAGTACACTCAGTCACTGCTTGAGAGGGATCTTGCAAACATTTTGCCTAAGCAGGCCTTGAACGAGGATGCAAATGATGTAAGGACTATAGGCTTGAGCTACTGCTCTCAGTCTTCAAATGAATTTTAAAAAATGAAGTCAGAGGATCAATGTACAGAAAGACAGCATGAGAAGCTCTACTAACCTGTTCTCCAGTGAGATTGGTGAAAATGATTTTAAAAACAAAGCATTTAAAGCCTGAAAAGGTCCTAAGCACAAAAGTCAAATGAAAAAAAAACTATTTAAGAAAAACTATGAAAATTAGGTAATTAAGACAAGTATTTGTGTGAACCACAACTGCTCATTCCCTCTTTCCTCCCAGTTCAGAGCGCTAGAGGTTCCACCTCAGAATACTACAGCCAAGAAAAAGAGCCCTCTTTTCCCAAGGTTTGAACTATAGAGCTTTCCTCTCCAGGAGCAAGTCTTCAGGGGCTGGCCAGTTTCTATTATGAATATGGACACTTTCAATAAGATACTATAAAACTGTGTCCAAAAAATATATAAATATCACACATCGTAACACAATACAGTTTGTTCCAGGGAAGCAAGATTGCTTTATCATCCAAAAAATCAATGTAATACAATGTATCAATGTATCAGGACGATCAAAACAAAACAAAAAAAATTCCCATAATCATCTCAATCAATGCAAAAAAAAAAGGACAAATTCATATCCTTTCATGATAAAACAGACACGAACTAGGAATAGGAAGGAATTTTCTCAACCTGACAAGGAACATATAGGAAAAACTCATAGCCAAAATCATGCTTAAAGGAGAAAGACTGGTCCTAAGAACAGGACCAAGTCAAGAATGCCCCTCTTACCACTTCTGGGAAACACTAGTTTTGAACACTGTTCTCAAACATTGTTCCAACCAGGCCAAAATGCAACAAAAGAAATAAAAGGTATTCAGTATGGAAGGCACAGTAGGTTGAATTGAATCGCCACAAAAATATGTTGAAATCCTAATCCCCAATATTGTAAATGTACTTTAACTGAGAATAAGATCTTTCTAAATGTAATCAAGTCAAGATGTAATACTGGACCAGGGTTGGCCCTACTCTAGTATAACTGGTGTCCTTACAAGAAGAAAAGACAGAGACACATACATAGGAAGAATGCCAGGTGCCAGTGGCTCATGCCTATAATCCTAGCTACTCAGGAGGCAGCGATCAGGAAGACTGCAGTTCAAAGCCAGCCTGGGCAAAAAGTTCACAAGTATCTCAAATATATACAACACAAAACAGGGCTGGCAGAGTGGCTCAAGTGGCAGAGAATGCCTGCCTACCAAGCGTGAGGCTCTGAGTGCAAGCCCCAGTGCTGCCAAAAAAAAAAAAAGAATGCTATGTGGCAATTCAGGCAGAGGATGGAATTATATTGCCTCAAATCAAGAAATGAAAAAGCAATGCCAGCAAACATCTGAAGATAGAAAAAAAGGAGTAAGATAACTTCAGAGCCTCCAGACTGGCTAACACCTTGATTTTGGACTTCAGACTCCAGAAGTTTGAGAGAAAAAACTTTTGTGACTTTAAGCCATGCAGTTTGTGGTGCTTTGCTACAGCTGTCCCAGAAAACTAATATAAAAAAAAAAAGGTAAAACTATATTTTGCAGATGACAAAGATTAATTCAAGTTGCAAGCAGAAGGATCTCAAGTTTGGAGGCCACTCTGGGCTATACAACAATTTCAAGGACAACATGGAAAATATAGTGAGACACCAGCTCAAAAAAAAAAAAAAAAGATCAAAGTCTTAAACATTACAGCGAAACCCAGAAAAACCATAGAAGAAAAATAAGGGTAAATCTTTAGGATATCAGATTTAACAAAAGATTCTTAATAGGACACCAAAAGCACAAGCAACAAAAGAATAAATAACTGGGCCTTTATCAACATTTAAAACTCGCCAGGCACCAGTGTCTCACACCTGTAATCCTAGCTACTTGGGAGGCTGATATCTGGAAGATCGTGGCTCAAAGCCAGCCAGGGCAAATAGTTCTCCATACCCCATCTCCAAAATAACCAGAGCAAAGTGAACTGGAAGCATGGCTCAGCCGCAGAGTACCTGCTTTACAAACATGAAGCCCTAAGTTCAAACCCCGGTTCAACCAAAAAAAAATTTTTTTTAAACTTTTGTGCTTTAAAGGAAACCATCAAGAATGTGAGAAGTGAGCTGAAGACATGGTTCAATCAGTACAGCAGCTGTCTGGCAAGCATGAAGCCCTGAGTTTGTGCCTAATACTGCCCCTCCCTCCAAAAAATAATGTGAGAAGACAGCTTTGAACTCATAATCCTCCTGTCTCGGCTTCCTAAGTGTTAGGATTATAGGTATGTTCCACCAAGTCCAGACTGGGGTTTCCTTTGGAGGTGATTAGAATGTTCTAAAATTAATCATGGTAATGCTTGCACAACTATAAATATACCAAAGAAAAAGTTATAGAATCGTATACTTTAAATGGGTGAATTGTGTGGTATGTGAACTATACCTCAAGAAAGATGTTGGTTTAAAAGTTGTAATGTCAAGTATTCACTTGCAAAAACAAAATATTAAATATGGAAGAATATTAATTTATATTTAATACAATAGGATTTTGATGGAGAAAGCCTAGGAAATATTAAGAGCTCTACTCCTACAAAGACAAAAATCAGGGCTTGAGAGCATGGCTCAAGTGGTAGAGGACCTACTTAGCAACCATGAAGGCTTGAGTTCAAACCCCAATACCACAAAAAAAAAAAAAAAAAAAAAAAAGCTTTCCAAGTTAAATATAAGTTTTTCTTCTTTATATTGACAGCTCTCTACATGAGAAAAATTAGCTGGTTATAACCTAAAAATATCAAAATAATACTCTACTCTCTTGAAAGTAAACAAAGAAGAAAAGAAAACCATTAAAATGGATACTTACAAATGACGGTACATTCAAATTTTGTTCTTGCTTCACTTCCTGAAAAGTCATATCTGTGTTTAAAAGCTGATGTTCAACAACAGTTACACATCCTTCGTCTGCAACATTCACGGTTATTTCAAGCTGCCAAAATAAAAATTTATTATGTCCTTTTGGTATACAATAAGCATCAAAACAAAAATCTCATTTTCCACTCAAGTCAAATTCAATGTCAAAATGAAAAAATAATTAATCTACATTCACACAGAATTCAAAAAGTGAAATATAGTAACTCTTAAACTGATTAACAACTTGGCAAAAGAAAAATATTTTAAGATATTTGAAGGATTTGTGACTATTATTATGACCATTAGCCAAAATTTCTAAGGGTGCCATTTTATTTCTCACTCTCCGCATTTTGCCTCAATTTCTTTCTTCTGTCTGTTAACTTTTAAGTAGCACTTTCTGAAAACTATAAGAATATGGGCATAGGGGTATAATGTCAAATAAGACAGATTTGATTCCTGCCCTCAATGAACTAAGAGAAATGCGTGGAATCAACTAACTATATACTGTCATAAATACTACAAAATTGTAATAATGAAATAAAGTGCTTAAAAAGATGTCATGCCATCACCCCCAGTGCAACAATTCCCACCCACAACCACAAAGCCTAAATCATTCTTGATACCCATGGCAATGGGTTCATTCACATTTACTCTTCATTTAGCAGCCCTACTAGTCAAAGGGTCCAAGAAAGGGGGACTAGAAAGATACTGATTTATCTTCCTGAACATAAACAGTATAGTCTGGCTGCCACTAACAGGAAGATGGGTATCAAATATTACATGATTCAGTAAAAACTCCTATAAAGAAACAAGTCAGGCAATCTTCTCTTAATATAGTTATTATAGTAACACTTGTATATTCTATGTGTTTCCTCAGATGCAAAAATAAGAGAAAAATCTTTACTAATATCCAATGGGATGCATTAAAATTTTGAAATGGTTTAAGAAGATAAAATACTTTCACAAAAGGTGGGATTGGGTAGAGAAAGATATTCTACATAACTAAAAAACATTGATTCTTTAGGACCACACAGTTTCAATGCTTTGTATCTGCCAGCTATACTGAGATGTAACTCACATAAAATAAATTCACACATGCACACACACTTTTTAAAACTGACTGATTAAAGGGTTAGGTTACCTAGCATGTGCAAACCCAAGGCCTTGCACATGCTAGGCAAGAACTCCACCACTGAGCTATATCCCAAGCCCCAATTTGCCCAGTTAAAGTATATAATTCAATGTATTTCTGGAATATCTACACATATGTGCAACCATTATATTCAATTTTAAAACATCTTCCTCACCTCTAAAAGAAATAATATATCCAGTGGGTATCACTCTCTTAACCTTTCTCCATCATCTCCCAATCCCTAAGCAACCACTAATCTACTTTCTATCTCTACAGATTTCCCTAATTTGGATACTTCATATAAATGGAATTATATATGTGATCTTTTGTGACTGATTTTTCTTACTTAGCATGTTTTCGAGGTTCATTCATGTTGGAGCATGGATCAATACTTTATATTCCTTTATGTCTAAAATACATTCCGTTGTATTTCAATACTTCTTAAAGGAAAATTTTCTAACAAAATTTTTGTTTTATCATGTTGCTAAAAGAAATATAAAACTGAAGCTTTCCCTCTTCAATTACTGTAATTACTACTGTTGTAAAATATATTCCATATTATCCAGAAATATATCTTAAAACCTGGCTTTTGGAACTTCCTTTCTGATACTAGTTTTCACTAGCAATTTACCTTTACCTAAAGAAAGAAAAATATAAAATAGCTAAATTACCTCCCATGCAATACTAACCAGACATCCTTCCACAAAATTAACTTTTATTCTGTATTTTCTTGATGTTGACTGAAACTTACATTTGTTATCTTTACTTTGAACTTTCATTTACAAGAAACAATCTCACTTTGTGTCATTTGTTAGATTTAAGAATTCTACTAAGTCACCATACAACACTTAGCTGGTTATCATTAACAGTGAATAAAATAAAGTTTGGTTTTGTTTTCTGTTCATAAAGGTGACTTTACAGCTTCAGGCCATCCATTACTTCTTAATGGATTTAATATCACTTGAACTGTTCTGTTTCCTACTGTTCCTTTTATTATTACTATTACTATCTTAACTTTTTTAAATCCTGATTTTGTTCAAATGACCCAGAAACTATTATGAATTCTTATAGAAAAGTGATTGAGACATGTTGTTCTATAAGCCAGATGAGTGACTAAGGCTTGAGGAGAACAGAAAACTTCGAAGCTCAAAGTTGGACTACTAGACCCAGGGAAAAATGAGTAAGAAAGCAAAGCATGTTTGTCTGCATCACACCCATTAGAATGGCTACTAGTATATTAGTATTAAAAAATAGTAAGACTGAGACTATGGCTCAGTTGTAGAGCATTTGTTTGGCGTATACAAGGCTGTGGGCTCAATCTCTAGCACTGCAAGTGAAGAAAAGCAAGTAACAGTTGTTGGTGAAGATGTGGAGAAAGAGTAACCCAATTCAATATAGAATTACCATATAATCCACAATTCTACTTGAGTATATACCCAAAACAAATGAACGTAGAGATTCAAAGGATATTTCTACTTTGAATACAGTAGTATTATTTGCAATATTCAAAAGGGGGAAACAACTCAAGTGTCCACTGCTGGACGAATGAATAAACAAAATTTCACACACATTAATGTCATTATGATAGATATTACAACTTTTTAAACCTTGAAAGCAGTATGCTATGTAAAATAAGGCAGCCACAAAAAGAATAAATACTGCATGATTCCATTCTCAAGGGGTTCCAAGAGAGTCAAATTCATAGACAAAAACTGGAATGGTGGTTGTCAAAGGCAGAGGTGTGGGGAAAATGGAGACTTATTGTTTAAATGGTACAGAATTCCAAACTGGACACCAGTGGCTCACGTCTATAATCCTGGCTACTTAGGAGGCAGAGATCAGGAAGATCACAGTTCTAAGCCAACCTGGGAAAATAGTTTGAAAGACCCTAATCTCAAAAAACCCTTCACAAAAAAGGGCTGGTGGGCCCTTAGTTCAAGCCCCAGTACCAAAAAAAAAAAGAATTCCAGTTTTATATGAAGAGTTCTATGGACAGATGGAGTTGATAGTAGCACTGAACTGTACATTTTAAAATGGTTAAGAGGATATATTTCGCATTATGTATATTTTAATATCATTTTTTTAAAAAAAAGGGCTGGAGGCATGGCTCGAGTGGTAGAGCAGCTGCTAGTAAGTACAAGACCCTGAGTTCAACCCCAATACCACCAACAGCCAAGAAAAAAAAAAAAAATGAATTCAAAAAAGAAAAGCATATGTTCCATACCAATCAGAACTTTAGCCTGAACCTAATATAAAAAATTAATAGAAATTAATTTTTTTAAAAAACTGTTAAACGGGCATGGTTGTACATGCCTGTAATCCCAGCACTAGAAAGATTGAGGCAGGAGGATTGAGAGTACAAGGTCCGCCTGGGCTCTATGGTGAAACCCTGTCTCAGAGAGAGAGAGGAAGAGGGGAGTAGGAGAGGTGTGAGGGAAAAATGGAGGAGAGACACCTGCAAATACCTGCTAAAACATTTTTTAAAACAATCAAAATGTAGATTAAGAAGTTTCCAGATACAAATGTAAGAGGATTTCTAACATTATTGATACACTGATTCCTTTGCTAGGCCTGTCCACAGGGGCTGAGTGACCACAGGTGGTCATTCAAGCTGACTTCTACTGATTCCTTAAGCTATTCACTAGGCCCCAAACAAACTGCACATGGCAGTGGATATTTAGAAAATGAACTCTTCAAATCCTAGTAACCACTGAATGAAAAAATAATGGTCCACTAAGAGAAAAAAGAGGAACAAAACAAAGATAAAGTGACAAGGATTCAAAAAAAACCAAACTACCTCTTCCATTGTTTCCTCAATCTGAGCAGAAACAGGTTCGGGGGATCTGAGACCAACAGGTACAAACACTGGTGCTTTGTTTAATTCTTCTGGGGCAAGATGACAGGTTTCTTCTTCATACTCAGATTCAAAATCTTCAGCATCATCTTCATCCTCTTCCTGGGAAGCCCGCAGAGTCACCAGCATGGACTTGGAAGCTCTAGGTTCCTTCTTAGCAGTCTTACCTCGAATTCGCTTTGATCCGCGCCCTTTGGTGACATTTGGTTTGATCTTCCTATGTGTTCTCTTTCCACTATGGTCTGTCTCACACTCAGAGACAGAAAAGGTAGTTGTTCTTCGATCCGGAACAATTTTAGAGTAATTTGATCCTTTCAACACTTGTGGCCGGCTGGATGTTTAATCAAAATAACAATTATGGTCATATATGCACCAGGATAATTTTAATGAAAACCAAACTGATACTGTGAAATCATAATTCTATCCATTAAAAAGAAAACATATGCTAAGAAAACAAGAAAGGAATTTCCTATTTCTTAGTTTCTCATTCACTTAGTTGTCTACTTACAAATTTTACAAAGTAAATTTTTAATTCTGGGTTGTTTTTTCACATGATATGAGAGTAGAGATGAAATAAACACAAAACTAGAAATCATAAGACGAAAAGAGAATAAAATACAAGGGACCAACAAATAGAGAAAATGGGATCAACAAATGATACTGGTTGATCTTACTGGACAAACACATCAGTTTAAAAGAAAAGGAACACAGAAAATTCATCAGAACAATGGTGATTTTTTAGAGCTCAGGTTCCTGTCTACTTCCTCTGAAAATGATGGAAGTAGGTATCCTTCGTTTGTGTTGGTAATCCCATTTGAATTAGTGCTATAACTACTTAGGTGATACATACTACTCTGGTCAAGTTTCTGCTCATGTGTAACAGACTCAATACCCAAAATTTTATAGCTGGGAAAAAAAAGTCTTCCAAACAAAATCAGAAAAGTAAATTGCAGTAAATAAAAATCACAAATACAAAAGACACAGACTCGTAAATAAAAATAATAATAACCTCTCCTTTTTATAAGCCATCTTTTTGCTCTATCAGTAAGTTATGGTAGGGCATTGATATTAATAATAAATAATAAAATTTTATTTCCTATTCTATTTGTTAAATGTTACCTTGTTAATTTACTGAGATACTGCTCTTCAACCACTGAAGACACAGAATTATCTCCTGCAATTTCCTCTCCAACACTTCCCGATGGTACAACTTCTAATTGAGCATCTGTTTTGGTCAAATCAGCCTCTTTGGAATTTACACAATCTTTTCTTACTGAACCCTCCAGAGAGGTCAGAATCTCAGCCTTTTCCTTGAATTTAAGAAGAAACAGCTAATATTAACAGGGAAAACATATCTAGTTTAGCAATTTGGCCTAAACATTACACATTTACACAAATGATCACTTTCTCAATTTTTATGATGCGAAGTCATTTCATCATTTCAACTACTTTCATGAAAATAGTTAGGGTACAAAAGCCAAAACTGTGTTTTAATAATGCTCTCCTTCACAATCCTGACATAATACAACTTGTGAACAACTTAGTTCCAAACTTACTTTTAGAAGGAGCTGGGTGTCAGAATCACCTTGCTGCAGCAAATTCTCTTCTAGTTGGCGTGCCTCACTCTGGTCTGTTGTGCCTTTTTCTCTACCTGGCTCCTCTTTCTTACCGAGTCCTTTTCCCAAATCTGGCTTAGCCCTTTGGAACTGCCTTCTTATCAATTGTGCTGAACTAGGAACATATGGTTTATTTTCATGTCTAGAATGAAGTACAAACCATTTTGAAGAAAAAAAAAATCAGAACTTCTTGTTGATGTAGTAACTGTTAGGCAATTTTGGCTACGTAAATTGGTAATAAACCCAAGGATATGAAATGAAACCCGGCACTGCTGATATGAAAAGAAGAAAATAAAAGCTTTTATAGCTTCTACTTTCTGTATAGCTAGGGAAATAGTTCATAGTAATATTAATAGTAATATTAATCTTTTTTTTTTACTTTCATTCATTGTTTGTAGTTTGATGCTACACTAAGTAATTTTCAAAGAAAGAACTAGATAGCTCAAAATTGCCAGATGAAAATGAGTTTCCTAGTTGCAATATCAAACACATGCCTTCAACTAGGCTCCAAAGCACGAACACAATGGTCATAACCACCTAGTTCCGGCTCAAGAGCAGACTTGAGAGCAAGAGTCTGTTCTATCACATGAGTGGAGGCTCATAGAAAAGGATTTATTGCAAGCCAATGTTATAAGGTTCTTGATACACCCATGTATCTGCCAAATCAGACAAACACAAGGTTTCAATATTCAACAGTAAGCAACAGTTCTGAAGGCAACATGACTTGTTCCTGGGAATAGTTTTACAACTGGCAAGAACCTGAATTAGGGATAAAAACTAATATAACTGATAATAATAAAATAAAACTGATAATAATACATAAATAAAAAATAAAACTGATAATAATAAATAAAACTGATAATAAAACTGGATATATGAATTCTCTGAAATATCTGTACTAAAAAGTAATCCTAAATTGGACACTGGTGACTCATGCCAATAATCCTAGCTACTTGGGAGGCTGAGATTTGGAGTATGGAAATCTGAAGCCAGCCTGGGCAAATAGTTTATGAGACCCCACCTCCAAAATAACCAGAGCAAAATGTGCTGAAGCTGTGGCTCATGTGGTGGGAAGCCCTGAGTTTAAACACCAGTACCACCATTAAAAAAAAAAAAAACTTAATCCTAAAATATTTCTAAATAAAATAACACACAAAAAAGTACTTAGCATATTTCCAAATGCACCAATCCTATTAAGTGCTTCTGGTATGGAAACACCAAGGAAGTTCACAGAAAATTCTAATAAAAGTCGGGTGTCAGTGGCTTACACCTATAATCCTACCTACTTAGGAGGCCAAGCTGGACAAACAGTTCATGAGATTCCTATGTCCAAAACCAGAATCAAATGGATTGAAGGTGGGCTCAAGTGGCTCAGCACCTACTTTACAAGCACAAACCCTAAGTTCAAACCCCAGTCCCATCAAAAACGAAAAAGTTCTAGTAAGATTACAATGTTGTATTCTTTCCTTCCAGGAAAGAATAATGTATTTGGGGAGAAAAGTCATACTTAATTAAAAGCTACTAAACTATATTATAATTAAAGCTTAAGTAAAACCAAGATTGGGAGAATCTCAGTTCAAGGCCAGACCAGACAAAAAGGTATCCAAGACCCAAACTGAACAAATACACTAGGCATGATGGTTCACCTCCTGTATGCAGGAGACATAGACAGCAGGATCACAGTTCAAGGCCCACTCTGGGCAAAAACATAGTATCTGAAAAGTAACAAGCAAAAAAGGGCAGGCTCAATTGGCAGAGTGCCTGCCTAGCAAGCACAAGGCCTTGACTTCAGACTCCAGTACTAAGCAAAAAAAAATACAAAAAAAATCTGATCATATGACAACCTGAAACATGAAAACCTTCTTTTAGAAAACACTTGCTTTTATACAATTATAGGAATGGGCTACATTAATCCTGAAAAAGCTAAGTTTAAAAACTAAACTATCAATGTTACTCTGATTAAGTCATTTAAATCTTATCTCTAGGTAATCAGGTCTCTAGGTCTGTTTAATCAATTATAAAAAAAGAACATTAAGGACTGTGGTGGTACATTGTTCAAGAGGTAGAATGTCTGCCAAGCAAGTGAGAGGCCCTGATTTTAAGCCCCAATACTGCCTGAATAGGGAAGAAGGGAGAGAAGGAGGCAGGGAAGGAGGGAGGGAGGAAGGAAGGAGAAGGAAGGAAAGGAAAGGGAGGGACAGAAGAAAAAGGAGGGAGTAAAGAGGAGGGAGAAAAGAAAGGAAAGGAAAGGAGGAAAGAAAAGGGAGGGAGGGAGAGGAATGGAGGGAGGAAAGGAGGGAGGGAGGGAAGGGAAAGGGAGGAAGGAAGAATAAATGAGTAAGAGCATTAAGAGAGACTGACTCATATATCTATGTACTCCTCATCCTCTCTTTCACTCCACTCCACACCAGCCTCTCACCTGTTCCTCAAACGTGTGAGGCATACTCTTGCCTTACTGCTTCTGAACTGCTCCTCACTATTCCCCTGGGAATCCCCTTGAATTGCTCCTTCACTTCTTTGAGCCCTTTTCTCTAATGGTACTTCCTCCTTCTCACTTTATTCTTCTCTAATTCATTACTCACTTATTGAACTGACGTACAATGCTTATGGTCTGGTCCCCCTTCACAATGACAAGAGTTTTTGTTTGTTCAGTCCTGTATTATGAGCACTTAGAGCAAAGCCTGAGCCTGACATAGATAGAGAACACCAAAATGTTGTGGAATGAACAGATTCTTTTTAGTGGCAAATTCTATAATTCTCAATAAGACCAGGGGGATTATATTATATAAGAAAACGGCCCATAATCAGTAATTATAAAAAGACAAATATGTAAACAAGTTCATCTTTTTTTTTCATGGTGATACTGGGATTTGAACTCTGGGCCTCACACTTGCTAGGCAAGTATTCTACCATTGAGCCATTCCACAAACCCCTTTCTGTGTTAAGCATTTTTGAGATAGGGTCCCTCAAACAATTTGCATAGGCAGGTCTTGAGCCTTGATCCTCCCAATTTCTGCCTCATGAGTAGCTATAATTACAGACATGAGCCAAGGGTGCCTGGCAACAGGTTCATCTTTAATGCTTGGAGTCAAGTGTTTTCTAGAATCAAGATCAGAAATGAATTTTTGATTCTATATGGGTCCAAATCATCAACCTAATCCAATACAGCACACATAATACAAGTGAATTTTAATGCATTTTTAGAGAAAAACTTATTTATTTGTTTGTTTGTTTGTTTATTTATTTATTTATTTGACAGGGTCTCATTGTGTAGCCTTCAACTGGAGATCTTCCTGCCTCCATCCTCCAAGTGCTGGATTATAGGTATGCAACACCATGCCCCTCTCAGTGAAAAACATTTCTAACACCAATAACTTTATTTATACACCCAGGTTTTAAAAATAAAGAAATGAACCAAGCACATGACAGAGTACTTACATAGGAGATGCAACTTCCTGAGTTTGAACCCCAGCACTGTCAGAACAAGAGGAGAGAAAGAGAGAGAGAAAGGAAGGGAGGGAAGGAGGTTAGAGGGAGGGAGAGAAATGGGGGGTGGGAGAAAACATCTTCATTTTTATTGTTTTGGGTTGTTTTTTTTTTTTTTTTGCAGTACTGGGTTTTAAACTCAGGACCCCATGCTTGCTTAGGCAGGCACTTGAGCCACTCTACCAGTCCAACACCCTATTTTAATATCAATAGTTAAGCAGATTAGAAGTAATAAATAAAAGGTTAATGTGACAATTTCTATACCCTACTAACTCATTTCGTTTGAAAGAGTCGTTCTTACCATTTGGTTGGAGATAATTACCTCTAAGTACCATAAGAACTGCATAGCACTATCCACTTACAAATTGTAGTGAGTCGGAATAAATTTCTAAAGATTCAAAAAATGTAAGAATGTGGAGTTAGTAGGTATAGGTAAGAACTTTCTCAATGAAACCCCAGCAGCACAGCAACAAGAGATAGCATAGATAAATGGGACCTCATAAAGCTAAAAAGCTTCTGTTCATCAAAAGAAATGGTCTCTAAACTGAAGAGAACACCCACAGAGTGGGAGAAAATATTTGCCAACTATACATCAGACAAAGGACTGATAACCAGAATATACAGGGAACTTAAAAAACTAAATTCTCCCAAAACTAATGAATCATAAAGAAATGGGCAAGTGAACTAAACAGAACTTTCTCAAAAGAAGAAATTCAAATGGCCAAAAAACACATGAAAAAATACTCACCATCTCTAGCAATAAAGGAAATGCAAATTAAAACCACGCTAAGATTCCACCTCACCCCTGTTAGAATAGCCATCATCAGCAACACTACCACCAACAGCTGTTGGCGAGGATGTGGGGAAAAAGGAACCCTCTTACACTGTTGGTGGGAATGTAGACTAGTACAACCACTCTGGAAAAAAATTTGGAGGCTACTTAAAAAGCTAGACATGGATCTACCATTTGATCCAGCAATACCACTCTTGGGGATATACCCAAAAGACTGTGACACAGGTTACTCCAGAGGCACCTGCACATCCATGTTTATTGCGGCACTATTCACAATAGCCAAGTTATGGAAACAGCCAAGATGCCCCAGCACTGACGAATGGATTAAGAAAATGTGGTATCTATACACAATGGAATTTTATGCAGCCATGAAGAAGAACGAAATGTTATCATTTGCTGGTAAATGGATGGAATTGGAGAACATCATTCTGAGTGAGGTTAGCCTGGCCCAAAAGACCAAAAATCGTATGTTCTCCCTCATATGTGGACATTAGATCAAGGGCAAACACAACAATGGGATTGGACTATGAGCACATGATAAAAGCGAGAGCACACAAGGGAGGGTGAGGATAGGTAAGACACCTAAAAATTAGCTAGCATTTGTTGCCCTTAATGCAGAGAAACTAAAGCAGATACCTTAAAAGCAACTGAGGCCAATAGGAAAAGGGGACCAGGAACTAGAGAAAAGGTTAGATCAAAAAGAATTAACCTAGAAGGTAACACCCACGCACAGGAAATCAATGTGAGTCAACTCCCTGTATAGCTATCCTTATCTCAACCAGCAAAAACCCTTGTTCCTTCCTGCTTATACTCTCTCTACAACAAAATTAGAAATAAGGGAAAAATAGTTTCTGCTGGGTATTGGGAGGTGGGGGAGAGAGAGGGGGTGGAGTGGGTGGTAAGGGAGGGGGTGGGGGCAGGGGGGAGAAATGACCCTAAGCCTTGTATGCACATATGAATAATAAAAGAAAAAAAAAGCAAAATAAGTCAGATACCAAAAAAAAAAAAAAAAAGTAAGAATGTTCGTATACTATAAAAATTTAAGCTTAGTTTTAATACCACAAATAAAGATGCTTGGCAAACTTTCAGATAAATCACAAATTAAGAGAACATCAACCATGTCGCTTTCAATCTGAAGAAGATTTTAAATACTCTAGTTTCCTAAGTAATTCTTACCTGATTTTTTTAGTAAATTTTCAGGTCTGGCATGGTGGTGCATACCTATAAAACCAGCTACTCTGTGGCTAAAGGAAGATGATCACAAGTTCAAGGTCAGCCTTAGAGAACTGGGGGTAAGACTCATTGGTAGAGCACTTGTCAAGCATGTGGATGGGCCTGGGGCCCATCCCCAGCACAGCAAAATAATAAATAAAAACAAGAGAAACCAAATTTGACACTTTAAAAAAAATATTCAGGATGAGAAGTTATATAAAAATCAATTAGGCAAAACATACAAACTATATCCTTGAAAATGGTTATGTTTTCTCATTAAAAGTAAACTCACCTCATTTTCTCATCTAAAGCATTTCCTGCGTTAACAGGGAGTTTTTCTACAGGAACCACATGACTTTGATTTTCATCCACTCTACATTCTGAAACTCTGGAGGATACAACTTCAATTTCACTTTCAATTTGAGAATTGGACTAAAAAACAAAACCATATTAATAATCTTTTTTCAACAGAGCATACTGTCTCAAATATTTCAGTCATTAAAAGGGGTAGTGTGTGTGTCTGTGTGTGTGTGTGTGTGCGCACACGCGCACACTTGCTGAGGATTGAACTCAGAGCTTTCCATATGCTCTACCATTGAGCAATATCTCCAGCAGCCCAGTTTTTTAAAATTATAGTTCAAACTGGAGTATCCATTTTTCATGTTCCTCTGCCAAAACAAGATTGCCTAGTTCAGAGGGAAAGTTGCAATGATTACTGCAGTCATAACATGTTTCCATAAGGCTTTAAATAAAAAATTAAAGGAGTTTGGGCTAGGGGCACAGCGGTAGAGCATGCAGAAAGCTCTGGGTTTGATCCCGAGCACACACATACAAACAAATTTTAATGGGTTTTGTAATTTGTTTTAAGTATTTTATTTCTTATCAGGATTATAATTACTTTGTGTATAGGTTTTGCTTTGATATACTCAGAAAAAGACAGTAAAAAAAAAAAACTAGTTGAAATGGGTATTTCTAACTGAACATTATGCTATTTAAGACTTTTTTTTTTTTTAACTATCAAAAGATCTATTAAGAAAATGGTTAAATTGACATGTATGGTGATATAATCCCAGCATTCAGGAGGCTAAGGCAGGAGGATCAAGAACTCAAGGCTAGTATGGGTTACATAGCAAGATACTAACTTAAAAAAAAAAGAAAAACAAACAAAACCAGGCATTCTGGCTTACACCTATACCAGCTAGCTACTCAGCAGACAAAGATGGCAAAGATCAAGACAACCACAGTAGGGGGGAGAAATGAACCAAGCCTTGTATGCACATATGAATAATAAATGAAAAATGAAAAAAAAAAAAGACAACCACAGCTTCAGCCCAGCCAAGGGACGTTAGCAATGCCCCTTCTTAATCAATAAGCTGGGCATAGTGGCATACACATGTGGTGTCAGCTAATGGGAAGCTGTAGGTAGGAGGACTAAGGTCTAAGGCCAGTCGCAGACAAAAACAAATGGTTCAAGTCATGTAGTGCCTATCTAGCAAGTATGAGGCCCTGAAATCAAACCCCACTACACCCCGCCAAAAAAGAAGTTGTAAGACAACAGAAAGCCACTTACTACAGTATTAAGTGAACAACAGAAAGTTATAGGACAACATGTATACCATGATCTCATTATTTGACTTACATATATACACATTTGTGCTTGGAGATAGATTCAGTAAGATATGTCAAAAGGTTATCTCAGTGGCTGGTGGAATGGCTCAAGTGGCAGAGAGCCTGCCTAGCAAGTGTGAGGTCCTGATTTCAAACCCCAGTGCCACCAAAACAAAAAAGAAAAAAAGAAAGGTTATCTCAGGGTGGTCACATTTGGGGTATTTATTATGTTATTTTACATTGATTAAACATTTCACACAGCACATGCCTAGCAAGCCTAGCAAGTGTTAAGACCCTGAGTTCAAAGTGTTGAGGCCCTGCGATTTTTTTGGCCCAGTACTGCCCAAAAAAATATATATACATATATAAAAATATATATAATTTTTCACACAATGAATAATGAATGAATAATGTTTCTACTTTGAGGGAAAAAAACCTCTTTTCACTTAAAAAAATAAAAATCCAAAATAGTAAGTGTATTCATCAAATAAGTAAAAGATAACTGTATTCCAACCTAAGTCTTGGCTATCATATACATTAAAAGGTTCGGCTCAGTTACATAATAGTAACTCACCAGAGTCAGAGATTTCTTGTCAGTTCCATCTTTTTGCAGTATTACTTGTTCTTCATTAATTATGCCTTCAGCTTCACCTTTCTCTGTTATTTGCCGCTGTCTAGCCCTTCGTACATTTGGTCTCGGTCTTTGGAGTCGGCCCCTTAGTGGTAGAGCTGTTTGGACACTTTCCTTTGTTTCTTGTTGGAAAGTATTTATCTTTTGAGTCCTAGAAAAGGTAACAAGGAGAAAGAGTTGGAGCTTGATTGCAAATTTAAAAAAATTTAAAACTACTGAAAAATACATCATTTGAATTTCATCTAATAGTCTATAAAAATATTTTTTATCATTCAAGGAAAATGAACTTCTGATTATAAAAATACTGTATAAAAGTTATTTCAGGGCTAGGGATTTATTTGAGCAGTAGAGTGCTTGCCTAGCATTCATAAGAAACTGGATTCTGGATCCCCAGAACAGCATACAATAAAAAAAGGATATTTTAATTTTCATATAGTAATAAACTTTTATGATGTACCTAGAATAGCCAAATTTATAGAGACAGAAAGTAGAATGGTAGATTCCAGGGACTGGAAAAAGAGGGTAATGGGAGTTAATGCTTCATGAGTACAGAGCTTCAGTTTGGAGACAATAAAAAAAGTTCTGGAAGGATGGAGGCTTGGCTCAACTGGAGGAATGCCTGCCTCACAAACATGAAGCCCTGAGTTCAAACTCCAGTACAAAAAAAAATGTGGAGATGATGGTGGTGATGAATGCACAATGTGAATATATTTAATGCCACCAGGCTGTACATCTAAAAATGATCAAAATGGTAAACTTTATGTTACATGTATTTTACCAATTTTTTAAAAAGTAATGAATATATACACATATATTTTAATGCATTGCTTTCTACAAATTTTAAACAGCTAAAAATGAAGGTAAGTCAGCAAGCATTAAAAGGTATTTAATTCAACCTGACCTTCTATCTTAGGTGGTATTTCCTATCAATTAACATAAGCCAAGCACTTTTTATCTAGTTTTGAAATTCATTAACACATTTCTTAAGAATAAAGAAATATTTAAAAGTCTGTCTTATTTAAAATTTTCAAGGAAATATCACTGTTTACCCCACAGAAACAACTAAGTCATTTTCCTGGTTTTGTGTTAACTGCAACTCCCCCTTGGGTTCATAAGAATGTGAAGGTGAAGGGTCCTTTTCATTGTGTATACATGGTAGTATCACGGCTTCCTCCTCCTGATGATTTGATTTTTCTTTTTCTCTTGATATCAATAAGGAACCCACATCCTAGAGGACAGAAAAAAAGATTTCATCTAGGGTTGGTAAAAGTATAGAGAAATTAAAACTGTTATATACCATTAATTTAAGAGTAAACTGAAACAGTATTTGTAGAAAACAATGTGGTAGTAACTAATTTCCAAAAAATTCTTCATCTACAAATTCATCGCCTAAAAATAATCAAGTAATGTCAGGCACAGTGGTTCACACCTGTAATCCTGGCTAGGGATGGGAAGGATTGTGGGAGGCGAGATGGCCAGGATGTGGGTTGAGGCCAGCCCAGGCAAATAGTTCAAGAGACCCCCATCTCCAAAATAACCAGAGCAAAATGGAATGGAGGAGTGGCTTAAGTGATAGAACACCTGTTTTGCAAGTGCTGAGTTCAAACTCCAGTACCACAAACAAAAACAAAACAAACAAAAAAAAAAAAAAACTGTGTTTATGCCAGAATATTTGCTAGAGCAATTTAAGTCCCCCTCATCCCAGTGAAAGAAAAGACAAACAAAACATTGGAAATAAGACAAATCTATCAGTAGGGGATTAAGTAACTTTTAATTTCTTGACACTGTAACAGTGCATAGCCCCTTTTATTTTTAGGGGGGGGTGAAGGAATGCAGGATCTCACTATATTGCCTATGTTGCTCAGACTGGCCTCCAACTTGCAGCTCTCCCACTTCAGTCTCAAAAGATGGGATTACAGACACATGTTACCATGCTTGGCCTAATACACAGCCATTAAAAACCAGACAATGTTTTTTGTATTGATCCAAAAAGAAACTCATGATACTGTGTTAAGTGGAAAAAAATCAGAAGGCATGGAATGGTGGCATTTTGGGTTAAAAACAAATACCAGCATAATTTATTATTTTATAAATAAGTATAGTGAAAATCTAGGTGCATGTGTTGAAAACTGATACATGATTTACTTTAGAGTTAGGGATGGGATATTATAAAGGACTCTCACTTTTTAGAATACATATGTATTTTTCCAAATAAAGTGATCACCTTTTAGAAATAATGTTATGAGAGTAAGTACAAATATTGAGCATAGTAAAACAATAAAACACATTAAGATGCCAAATAAGAATTTCCATTCTACGGCTGGCAGAGTAGCTCAAGTGGTAGAGGGCCTGCTTAGCAAGCCTGAGGCCCTGAGTGCAAACCCCAGTGCTGCCAAAAGAAAAAAAAATTTTTCATTCTAAAAAGTACTTTATATATTTAAAACATTCAAGTTATAAGAATTAACATTTCATTTCAAACTTTCTGATGTCGTATCACACAATCTGTAACATAGCAAGTGAATGAAATAAATAAAATACCTACTTTAGTTCCCATCAAGCTTCTAATTTTTCATTTCACCTTCAAAACAGAATGAAATAAAGGACTATCATTCCCATTTTTCCTCTGAAAAAACTTGTTAGGTGGACATAGCCAGAACTTCATCTGCACCCAGACCTCCTAAATACTATTCTGCTACACACTGCCCATACCGTCCTAACAGACATGCAAGATTTTCACAAAAGACCGGTCAATGCGGCACATTATGCAAAAGAACAATGTCACACATGATACAAATTATATGAACTTGTAAAACACAATAACTAAAAAAGAACACCTCCGCCTTAAATACTCACATGCTGGGAAGAGAGAGTGCTAGTTTGTTCACTGCCCTGCTGTATCACAATGGCCTCCACTTCATCCACTTCTGATTTCTTCTCAGGCGCATGTTTTCCTGCTCCTGTAGTCTCTCGCTTTAAAGTTGCTCTTGCCAAGTTTGGTTTTGGTCTTTTAAATCGACTTCTCACAAAAGGTGCTGATTTAACCTCAACTGGCTTCTGTTCTTGAGGAAGAGATTTGCTTTTGGAACAAGGATTATTAAACTTTAGAATGAACTGAAAGGGCAGTGGAAGTGGAATCTTAGGACAACCTTAGAGAAAGGCAGTAAGCATGTAATCCTTTTGTTTTGTTTTTTTTCTTTTTGGTGGTACTAGGGATTGAATTTTTAAACCTTGTACTTGCTAGGCAAGCACTCTACCACTTGAGCCCTGCTCCCAGTCTCTTTGCTTTTAGTTCGTTTTTCAAATACTCTTGCCCAGGGTATCTTTTGATGGCCTCTTGGGTAGCTGGGATTTTAGACATGTATAAACACAGCAAGCTTGTTTATGAGACAGGGTTGTGCTAACTTTTGCCAGGGCTAGTCTCGAACCTCCATGCTCCTATCTCTGCCACCTAAGTAACTGGAATTAAAGACATGAGCCACTGGCACAGCATAATCCTAATTATGAACAAGAAAATGAAATCAAACTATTTAGGAGCTCCTAAAAAGGATGAGTGATGGGTGCAATGCAGGTATGAGTGCAAGAACTAGACCATTTTTGCAAAAGGAAATACTAATCTGTCAAACCTACATTGATTTATAAGTGCATGCCACATGCAACTTTGTATTTGTTAGTAATTCTCATGATCAATTATCAGAATGAAAATCCTCTTCCCAAAAATAACTTAAAATCTCTAACACTATCCTGTATGTTATGTAAATATGATCACCTATTTTTTCTTTGAAAGCCTATTTGTGTGCTTGTACCTTAAATTAGTATCTGTAAGCTGCTCTGGAACATGTGGAGGTTGCACCAGCTGGTCTTCTGCTTCACAGAGTACAGAATTCTGTGAAGAAGTCTTCAGTTGACTTAAGTGACTTGACGCTTCCTTTTCAGAATCTTCTTTCTCTTCTATAGAGGCATACATCACCAATACTACTTCACTACTCGTGTTCTAGAGCACAATAGGTCCACGATATAGAAGCTCCATGAGCATGTCATGCATTTCACACAAATCCTACTAAACACATTCCTTTAAAAACTTACAAGTTTGTTTTTAACTTTTAAATGAATACTGACATACAAATGCACAAATTAGAATTTAGGAGTGTCTTTCTTTTATGTTGCATTGTACAATTATTCCAAACCAGAAATGTCATTACTACCCAAAACAAAGTTAGAGAAAAAGTCATCAAAATACTAGAGTATGAACTTAAAGTGTAGGAATTTTTCAACAAAAGGAACTTTTAAAAGTGGACATAGTTAAGTGAGGCAGAAAATCAAGAGAAAAATAGAAAGATACGGTGAAAAGACTAAACTTAGTATAAATTCAGGCCAATTTCCTATATTCCTTTATCTAAATAAATAACTTTCCCACACTTACTAAATTTTTAAAATTTTATTTTGGTTTTTGATTTTTATAAAGAATATTCAGGTTCTTCAAAGTGCTGAAGCATAAAAATTCAGGATTGGAAAAAACTTTATAGACTTTTAGAGATTTTTAAGTGTTAAGACTTAAAGGCAATAATCAAGGAATTGTTTTGGTAATTTTCCTCTGAAAAAAAAGTATTCCAAAAACTTTAAAGAACAGAAAAACACTTACTTTCATATCCTGAGCAGGACTAGGATTGCAGTTTCCACTACCACTCTGCATGGTATTTGTTTCAGTTTGCCTGGAGGTACCAGATTCCTCTGCTTCATTTTCCCTTAGACAAATGTCTACATTTCCAGGTCTCTCCAAATCTGCCACCATTCCCTCAGAAATATCAGTATCTCCAGATACTCTGTCCCAGGAGAGAGAAACTTCTCTACCTGTTTCTTTTAAATCTGCTTTGGTTTCCTCAGTGGCAATCATTTCTCCTGACACTGTCTCCACCAGGGAAATGTCTGTTTTTCCAGTTTCTTTCAAATCCATCTCCCTCTCCCCTATGGCACTGACATCTACTAATATCTCTTCTTTATAGGACTTTTCTCCTATAATCCCTTTCGAATATATTTCCATTTCACCTATAGTTTTACCCTCCTCTGGAGCCTGAGGCAATACAGGGATTTCTCTTCCTTTAGTTTCTTCTAAATCTGTCTCACTTTCTTCAGTGCTATCAATCATCCCTGGTGTTCTCCCTCTTCCAATTTCTTTCAAATCTGTCTTCATTTCAATTATAGGTTTGACCTTCTCTGGGCCATTTTCTTGTGGGGATACTTCTCTAGTTTCTTCCAAATCTGTGTCAATCTCTTCAGTGGTATCAATCAACTCTGGCATCTTCTCCCTTGAAGAAATATTTTTGCCAGTTGACTTCACATCTGTCTCCATTTCCACAGTGACATCAGTCATTTCCGGCATCCTCTCTTTGAGAGAAATGTCACTCCTCCCACCTCCTTTGAAATCTGAGTCCAATTCCTTAGTAGTAGTAGTTGTATTTGGCACCTTCTCCATTGATGAGGTGTCTAGTATTAGGATTTCACTCAAAGTTGTTGTCATTTCCCCAGGAGCAGGAATCTCCTCTGGTACCTTTTCCTTTGAGGAAATTGCTTTTCTTGTACTTCCTCTTCCTATATTTGGTTTTAGTTTCTTAAATCGAGTCCTTAAAACTGGAAATTGTTTGAGGATATTTGCTGCATTCTCCTCTTGAATGCTTTGAAAAAAAAAAAAAGACACACAAATTTCAAACCAGACTGCCAGATAAAGAGATGATGGTTGAGATATAACTATGGAAACACAAGAAACCTTCAAATTGCAAAAAATTAAAGCCGGGCATGGTGGTACACACCTGCAATTCCAGCACTTGGGAGAATCTCAGAGTAGAATTTAAAAATTAAAGTAGAAAAAAAATTCCAGTTTTAGAATCTATACTAAAATTTTTAAATAACTGAATATATGTTCTTTTATAAACAAACGTAAAGATATGTATTAATGAGGTCACTCAGTGCAGCAGCTAATTGGCCCTGAATAGTTCCTTTGAAATTGTTATCTTCACATTCTAGGCAAATGCTAGCTAATAGAGACTCACAAGTTCTCTGAATCGGTGCTACAGTAACGTGTGTCTGCTACTTCTACCTCTCTACTCGTACTATCTTTTACCCAGACATATGCTTCACCATAATAGATTTGACCATCTCAAAGAACTGACAGAAATCTAACTTTAATAAGAAAAAGTCTTATAACTGAGAACTAGGTCTGCCCTCCATACTTTAATAAAGCAATTTAAAATGAGATCATCTTTACATTTTTGTAAGACCCTGGAATTCGACAATATAGATCAAGCAATAAAAGACAGATTAAATATACAATATTTTGCTGAATGTTACTAGACATAAAATCACTATATACAATGAACACTACTTCCCCCAGAAAAGCAGGAACACTCTTTGCTTTGTGTTTCATTCATCATAAAACCAGTAAAAAATATGTATATAAATATATATACATACATATAATATACATATTTATATATACATATGAATAAATGCACTCTGAGTAACAGTTAAGAAAGGCCAAAGCCAGGCATGGTTGTGCATGCCCGTGATTCCAGCACTCAGAAGGCTAAAGCAGGAGGAAAATGAGTTCAAATCCGGCCTGAGGCTACATAGCAAGACCCTATAACCACAATTAAAAAAAAAAGAAGGGGAAGAGGGGCAGGACTGGCAGAGTGACTTAAATGGTATAGAGTGCCTGCCTAGCAAGTTTGAGGCCCTGAGTTCAAATCCCAGTGTCTCCCCGCCCCCCGCCCCGCAACAAAAGAAGGCCAAGTACCAATGGCTCATTCCTGTAATCCCAGCTACTCAGGAGGCAGAGAACAGTAGGGTCACAGTTTGAAGCCAACCCAGGCAAAAAAAACAAAAATTAGCAAGCCCCTATCTCAACCAGTAGCCGGGCATGGTGGCACACACCTGTCATTGCATTCACAATGAAAGCATAAACACAAGGATTGGGTAGGCTAGCCTGAGCATAAATGTTGAGACCCTATCCTCCCTCTTAAAAAAAAAAAAAGAAAGAAAGAAAGAAAGCCAAAAGGGCTGGGGGCATGGCTCAAGCATATAACACCTGTCTAGAGAGCCTGAGGACCTGAGTTCCAATCACAGTACCACCAAAAATAAAAAATTAAAAATTAAAGAGAGAGAAACAGAAAAGGTCAGTGATCTTAGGCAAAAACTTGATCAAATGAAACACTGTATTTATTCATCATGTCAGGCTGAACAAGTACACAACTGTATACTTAGCTTAAAATTTTATTAAAAATATACTTACAGAAAGGATGGAAAGGGGTGTAGCTGAATAGAAAGAATAACTTAGTTCTATACCACAGTAGGATAACTATGGTTGAGAATAATTGAGTATTTCAAAATAGCTAGCACAGGGCTAGTGGAGTGGCTGAAGAGATAGAGTGCCTGAATAGTAAGTGCAAGGCCCTGAGCTCAAACATCAGTAAACAACAACAAAAAAAAACTACTAGAGATAATGATAAAGAAATGGTAACTGTTCTGGTCACTACGTATTGTGTATATATATTGCAATGTTACACTGTACCTCATAAACACGTATAATTACTATGACAATTAAAAATAAATATATGTTAAGAGACAGAGGAAGTTAGGCTGGATATGATGGCATACACCTGCAATCACCACTATGTGGAAGACTGAGATGTCTCATGGAGAGTGGGGGCAGATGTGTTTTGAGATCAGCCCCAACAGGAAGTTAATGAAACCCCATTAAGCTGTAGTGGTGGTGTGCGCCTATGGTCCCATTACATGTGGTCCCAACTATGCTGGAGGCCAAAGGCAGAAGCATTGCAATTCAGGCTAGTCCCAGAGAGAAGGGGGCAGAAATTACAAAATCCTATCCAAAAGAAATAACTAAAGCGAAAAAGGGCTGGGGGCATGGCTCAAGTGGCACAGTGCCTGCTTACCAAGTGCAACACCCTAGGTTCAAACCCCAGTACCACAAAAAAAAAAAAAAAAAAAAAACCTGCTTCTTATATTCAAATTGATAGTGTTTACTTTTCTCAAAACAACTAAATTACTTAACTAATTAAATAACCCTCCCTCAGTACTAGAAACAACAGAAATGGTATAACTGACGTGGAGTAACCAAACACAGAAAAGGGTAACAACGTCAGGTTGTAAAATTAAGAAAAGGAGGATCGCAAATAAAAGACAAAGAAAATTTTGGCAAGGCCCACCAGGTGCCAAACCCATTCTAGACCCACTGGGCAGTACAGTATGGAAAATTTCTAGTGCCACAAGAACATGTAAGATCTGAAAAATTACAACATTAAATTAAAAAAATAAAAATTATAAAAATGTCCAAAAACAGAGAACATGATATTGCTTATGTGAACCTCTCTAGGTCCTAATCCTTCTTTACTCTAACAACTTTTATAATGTAATTTTTGATAATTTAAGGCAAGGCCTTAGGAGTAAGACAACTTTACAAGTTGTACTTGCTTACATTACCGAAATATTTATATCACCAACTTTAGTAACTGACAATACTAAATGCAAAATTAATAGCAATTGATAAGGAAATTTAATTTGGTTAGTCTTGGATTTAATTTCATTGATTTATACTATTTTTCATTTTCATCCAGAAACATGTAGTTTTTAGTGACATTACCATGGTAGCAATCTTGGTTTCAACCTTATGGGAAAAAAAACACCTTTACAAAATCACACTAGCATATTCTTTCACCATAAAAATCCTTTAGGCAAAGGATTAACAAATTCATTACTTCAATCAGTACAGATTATAAAATACAAACATGCAATTTTATAATTCTATTCTATATGCTTAGATTATTTCCAGGTAATGAAAGGACTTCACAAAGTTATTTAGTTGGTTACTTTTTATGGTGCTAGGATGCTGTGCATGCTAGGCACATGCTCTACCACTGAGCTAACTCTTAACCCTTTCTCACCATGTAGCTCAGGCTCATGAACCTCTGCCTCTCAGGAGCTGGGATTACAGGTGTATACCATCATGCCCAGGTAATAAATGCATTTTTGTTTTTTCTGTTTATTTTTCCTAGGTTTTTTTGAGGAGGGAGCCAATACTGTGAGTTGAACCCATGGCCTCTTGGGCTACACCCTCAATTCTTTTGTTTTTGTTTGTTTTGAGATAGGATCTTGGTATCTTTGCCTGAGATGGCTTTGAATTCACATCCACCTCCAGAGTAGCTGAGATTAAAGACATTTGCAACTACACCAGACATATTTTTTGAAGATATAAATAAACAAATATCACACATCATAAAGTACATGAAGAGGAAGTCAACAAATATTTATGTGCCGGTAAGTTATGTGCTAGAAACTGGGCATAAAACAGTGAACAAGGTAAAGCTCTCACAGAGTTTTTTTAGGTTCATAATTAACTGAAGGCCAGTATCTAAGACTGGAAATCAGATATGTAGTTGAGTGAGATTATTTCTTCATGTAAAACACATTGATCAACAAATTGTCACTTAGGGTCACAGAATTTAAAGAGAAAAGCAAAGGAAGGGTATTAGAGTTGGGAAAAATAGAAAGAACTGCCACAAAATTCTCTTTATATATATACTTCAGCTCCATAGAATCATTTTCCTAAAATATAGAAGTTAAGAATCCAATTGGGTGCCAGTGGCTCACACCTGTAATCGTAGCAACTTGGGAAGCTGAGATCATGAGGACAGAGATTCAAAGCCAGCCCAAACAACAAGCTGGTGAGACTCCCCCCCCACTCCCATCTCCAAAATAACCAGACTAAATGGACTGGACTGGAGGTGTAAACTTAAGCAATAGAGCACCTGTACTGCAAGCTCAAAGCCATGAGTTCAAACCACAGTCCCAAGAAAAAAAATAATAATAATTTACAAAGTATTCATAAACTCCATAAGGTAAGTCACTATTGATGACACCAACCTCAAAGTGTTTATATGATGTAGACAGCAAGTAAAATTGCCTAGAATAGATCCAGAGGAGTGACTCAAGTGCTAGAGCACCTGCATAGCAATTTTGAGGCCCTGAGTTCAAACCCCAGTGCCGCAAAAAAAATTAACTTAAAAAAAAGTTATGCAAAGAAACATTCACTCATTAATAATTAATAACTAATAACTAATTAATATTTGGTCTGAGCAGCTGGTAAAGCTGGGAGACCCTGGTCTCAAAAAAATCTTTTAAGTAAATAAATTTTTTAATGCATCCATCATGTCTGAGACTCTGTTCCTATTATCTCCTTCTATAATAATAGCATCCTGAATGGGCCAAATTGTTAGGAGTAGGGGAAGAGGAAAACTGTCTATTTGATATAGATAGGCACCGATGGCATAGTTCAAGTGGTAGAGTGCCTTCCAAGATACAGATAGGTGTATGATTTGATTGCACATTTACAAGTCAGGAGGCTACATGAAAAAGCAGAAAGGACACTGCCTTTGGTGAATGAAGCCACTGATGTCAGGCTGAATATTACTTATAAACTATATCTACCAGTATTCCAAAATGCAAGAGGCTCTCAGGGAAAACTTAAATTTTCTACTGGGCCACATTAATGATTAAAAAGAGTCTGGCTCATCATCAATAGCTATAGCAAGGTAGCAGGATATAAAATCAACATAGAAAAATCATTAGCATTTCTATACACTAATAATGAACAAACTGAAAAAGAATATATGAAAACAATTCCATTTACAATAGCCTCAAAAAAAATCAAATACCTAGGTGTAAACCTAACAAAAGATGTGAAAGACCTCTACGAGGAAAACTATACACTTCTGAAGAAAGAGATTGAGGAAGACTATAGAAAGTGGAGAGATCTCCCATGCTCATGGATTGGTAGAATCAACATAGTAAAAATGTTGATACTCCCCAAAGTAATCTACATGTTTAATGCAATTCCCATCAAAATTCCAATGACATTCATTAAAGAGATTGAAAAATCTACTGTTAAATTTATAGGGAAACACAAGAGGCCACGAATAGCCAAGGCAATACTCAGTCAAAAAAACTATGCAGGAGGTATCACAATACCTGACTTCAAACTATATTACAAAGCAATAACAATAAAAACAGCATGGTACTGGCACAAAAACAGACATGAAGACCAGTGGAACAGAAGATCCAGATATGAAGCCACACAACTATAAGCAACTTATCTTTGACAAAGGAGCTAAAAATATATGATGGAGAAATAGCAGCCTCTATTTCCCAGCAAAAACTGCTGGGAAAACTGGTTAGCAATCTGCAAAAAACTGAAACTAGATCCATGTATATCACCCTATACCAAGATTAACTCAAAATGGATCAAGGATCTTAATTTCAGACCCCAAACTCTTAAGTTGATACAAGAAAGAGTAGGAAATACTCTGGAGTTAGTAGGTATAGGTAAGAACTTTCTCAATGAAACCCCAGCAGCACAGCAACTAAGAGATAGCATAGATAAATGGGACCTCATAAAGCTAAAAAGCTTCTGTTCATCAAAAGAAATGGTCTCTAAACTGAAGAGAACACCCACAGAGTGGGAGAAAATATTTGCCAATTATACATCAGACAAAGGACTGATAACCAGAATATACAGGGAACTTAAAAAACTAAATTCTCCCAAAACTAATGAACCAATAAAGAAATGGGCATGTGAACTAAACAGAACTTTCTCAAAAGAAGAAATTCAAATGGCCAGAAAACACATGAAAAAATGCTCACCATCTCTAGCAATAAAGGAAATGCAAATTAAAACCACGCTAAGATTCCACCTCACCCCTGTTAGAATAGCCATCATCAGCAACACCACCAACAACAGGTGTTGGCGAGGATGCGGGGAAAAAGGAACCCTCTTACACTGTTGGTGGGAATGTAGACTAGTACAACCACTCTGGAAAAAAATTTGGAGGCTACTTAAAAAGCTGGACATCGATCTACCATTTGATCCAGCAATACCACTCTTGGGGATATACCCAAAAGACTGTTACTCCAGAGGCACCTGCACATCCATTTTATTGCAGCACTATTCACAATAGCCAAGTTATGGAAACAGCCAAGATGCCCACCACTGACGAATGGATTAAGAAAATGTGGTATCTATACACAATGGAATTTTATGCAGCCATGAAGAAGAACGAAATGTTATCATTCGCTGGTAAATGGATGGAATTGGAGAACATCATTCTGAGTGAGGTTAGCCTGGCTCAAAAACCAAAAATCGTATGTTCTCCCTCATATGTGGACATTAGATCAAGGGCAAACACAACAAGGGGATTGGACTATGAGCACATGATAAAAGCGAGAGCACACAAGGAAGGGGTGAGGATAGGTAAGACACCTAAAAAACTAGCTAGCATTTGTTGCCCTTAACGCAGAGAAACTAAAGCAGATACCTTAAAGCAACTGAGGCCAATAGGAAAAGGGGAACAGGTACTAGAGAAAAGGTTAGATCAAAAAGAATTAACCTAGAAGGTAACACACACGCACAGGAAATCAATGTGAGTCAACTCCCTGTATAGCTATCCTTATCTCAACCAGCAAAAACCCTTGTTCCTTCCTATTATTGCTTATACTCTCTCTACAACAAAATTAGAGATAAGGGCAAAATAGTTTCTGCTGGGTATTGGGGGGGGGAGAGAGAGGGGGTGGAGTGGGTGGTAAGGGAGGGGGTGGGGGCAGTGGGGAGAAATGAACCAATCCTTATATGCACATATGAATAATAAAAGAAAAATGAAAAAATAAATAAATAAATAATTAAATAAAAAGAGTCTGGCTTTTTTTTTTTTTTTGAGGGGGGATAACTGGGATTTTTAACTCAAGGCCTTCCACTTGCTAGGCAGGTACTCTCCCATTGAGCCAGACCCCAAACCCAAAATGACTATGGCTTAAACTGAAATAATATAAATAAAAAATCAATCTCAGATATCTGTAAATAAAATATGAATCAAAGATACGAAACAAAACTGGGTACCAGTGGTTCACGCCAAAAATCATAGCTTCTTGGGGGACTAATTCAAGGATCTCAATTCGAGGACAGCCCGGGGAAATAGGTTGTGAGAACCTCACTTCCAAAATAACCATAGCAAAATGGGACGTGGAGGTGTGGTACAAAGAGGAGAATGCCTTCTTTACAAACACAAAGCCCTGAGTTCAAAACCCAATTCCACCAAAAAAAAAAAAAAAAGGCTATGTAACAAGGAATATAGTTTTAAAGGCTTCAACTCAGAGATTCTAAGGCACAGTAATTGTAAATTAGTTAGTTGAGGGGATAGTAAGAAGAGGAAAAGTAGACTAAACAAAAAATAAAGGTCTTCATCTGTCCTACAATAAAATCTTCAAGGAACTCCAGGAACCCTAGCCTGTCCTTCAAGGTCAAGGACTCCTTAAATAAGCGTAAAAAGGTGTATACAGACCAGCCTTTAAATGTAAAGAAAAGATGGTAGGGACCAGTGAGTCCATTCCTGTTCACTCTGTTTCTTTGCACTTTATACACTTGCAAAATAAATTTTTTTACAGTTAATTAATAATTCTATCAATCTGGTTTGGTATCCTCCATATGGAAAATGAATAGGAAATTCAGCTATGAGAAGTATGGGTTTTATATAAAATTTATGTAAATATTAAATGAAGTCAATATGTAATCAATCTAATTCCAAAGAAACAAGTATTTGAAAAAGTGGCCTTTTCATATTTGGACACAGACATCTAATTTAAAGTGCTTGTTAAGTAACAAAGCTCTTTATACTAACTCAAGTTCTAGATTATGGGAAGTGGCACTTTTTAAAACATACACAACTGAGAAATAAACATGAAAGCTATGCTATAAACTTCAGTGACAGGTGAACAATTACTGTTAAATATTTCAATACTTTTAACCACTATGTAACTTAATACACTGATAACAAATTCACCTAATTTGTTTTTTTCTTAAGAATTAATGAGCCCAAAATTTTATAAAAATTTTTAAATTATGTAATCAATAAAATGCTGCTCACCTTACACATTCATTAAGAACCGTGGGCTCATCTGGCTGCACGTTTTGAAATGAAGGATCTTTTTTCTCAGGCTGTGATATATCTTCACACTGGAAATTCTTACATGACTGATCTTCCATTTGTTGAGGAATCTTAATAACAAACAAATTTTTAAAGTTTTAGATTTCTTTTTTTTTTCCCCTGCCACTGGGTTTGAATTCAGGATCTCATCCTTGGCTAGGCAATGCCCCACCATAAAATCAGCCTAGTTTGTTTTTTTTTTTTTTTTTTTTTGGGTGGGAGTAAGGAGGAAGGTTCTTGAGTTTGAACTCTGGCTTATTTGAGCCAAGCAAGAAGTTAATGATTTAGATTTCAAAAAGAGGGCTAGGGGCATGGCTCCAAGTTATATGCTTGCCTAGCATGTGTGAAGCCCCAGGTTCAATACCCACTACCACAAAAAAGCAAACAAACAAAAAAAACCCACACAACTTTGTAAAATCTCACTAAAAATTCTACAAGTATGGTGGTAAATTCCTGTAATCCCAGTTACTAGGGAGACTGAGATCAGAAGAAGTACGATTCGAGGCCAGCCTTCAACCAATAAGCCGGGCATGATGGCATGAACCAGTAATACGAGCTATGAGAGCTATGAGAGGGGAGTTAAGTAGGTAGATTAAAATCCAATGCCAGCCACAGGCAAAAACTTGGAACTCTATGTGAAAAATAACTAGTAGTAGAGGGCCTATCAAGCATGAGGACCTGAGTTCAAACCCAGTACCACAAAAAAGAAAAAAAATTCTGCTTTATTTAAGTGTAAGGAAAATGTAAAAGGCTCAAAATTGTAAAATTCTATTCAAAGAAAGTTCTTTTTTTTTGAGGGGAGGGGAGGCAGTTCTGGCATTTGAACTCAGGACCTTGAGCTTGCTAGTTAGGCAGGTGGTCTACCATTTTAGCCACATCCCCAGCCCTTTTTACTTTAGGTATTTTTCGAGTAGGTATTTTCTGGGCTGGACCATGATCCTCCTATTTATACTTACCAAGTAGCTGGGATGAGTGGCACACGCTACAACACCCAGCTTTTTATTAGTTAGGAAGTCTTGTGAACTTTTTGCACAGGCTAGCTCTAGCTGCTATGCCCCACCATTTCCATCTCCTGAGTAAAGACTACTGGAGTGAGCCACAAAGCCCAGCTTACTTGGTTACTTTTAAGATAGGGTCTCCAATTTCCACGATACTCCTACTTATGCTTCCTGCACAGCTGGGATGACAGGTAACTCCCAACACTACCAGCATTTTTTTGTTGATATGGGGTCTCCATCATGTTTTCCGAGGTGACCTTGAACCATAACACTCCCAATCTTCATTCCCCAAGTAGTTAGTGTTACAGAAATGTGCCACTGCACCTGGCTCAAAGAATGCTTTTTAATATTTTGTTTTTCTTTAGATTTCTTAGAAAATTTCCTAAACCAGAATTTTACTGTTATCAAATACTGCAGTTTTTCTGCACATTGGAAGGCAATGTTTCACTCTCTTTCATTCTCATCTGTTAGAATTACACCATGTTGTTTATCTTTCTAAATTCTTTTAAATTTTTTTTGGGGGGGAAGGTTGTTTATTTGGTTTTGGGGGGGTTGTGGTTTCAATTCAGGGATTCAGGCTTGCAAAGCAGGCACTCCACCACTTGAGCCACACCTCCAATCCATTCTGCTCTGGCTATTTTTGGAGATGGAGTTCCAAGAACTATTTGCCTAGGCTGGCCTCAAACTATGATCCTCTCAATCTCAGCCTCCCAAGTAGCTAGGACTACAGGTGTGACTCAGAAGTGCCCAGACTGTTTTAATTATATTTTAGACCATAGGAACTATAACAGAAGAAATCCTCATGCACCAAGAATTTACCTCAGTGGTATGTTTGCCTAGCATGTGCAAGGCCCTGGATTTAATCCTTAATACCATCAAAAAATTAAATAAATAAAACTTAAGATCCTTTTCCTAAGAATTATACTTAAGTAGGAAACTTTCAAATTTTTATTCTATTTAAGCTAATGTTAAAACTTACATATTTAACTATCTTTTCAAAAAAGGACAGGTAAGGGCTGGGGTGTGATTAGTGATAGAGTGCCTGCCAAGCAAGAGTGAGGCCCTGGGTTCAATCCCAAGAACCACAAAATGGAGGGGTAATCCAAACATTGCCTGAGTGGCAGAGAACAGGAAGTCCAAATATGAATAAAGAAAAAGAAAATTATCAACCACATAAAACACTCAAAATCTAGGGCTGGTGGAGTGGCTCAAGTGTTAAGAGCAGATGCCTAGCAAACATGAGGCCCTGAATTCAAACCCCAGTACTGCCAAAAAAAACCAAAAAAACACCACTCAAAGTCTAAAAAAGCTGCTGGCTATGATATTTTGATCATAAATGTAATGAACAATACACACAGATTGGAGCTCAATGTTGTTTTAAAAGGGTATAAAAAGTGTACGTTAAGCCTTATATATTTAACAAAATGTGGGGAGTAATCAAAGCACTTACATCTCTATCAACACAGGATTCATTTTCATTCTTCTCTACAGTGGCCCCAATTTTTTCCTGTGATATCATCACATCTTTTCTTTCTGTAGCTTTCACTACATTTGGCTTTGGTCTTTGCATTCGGCCCCTCGTTAGTCGTGCACATCTAAAAGCCTTTGGTTGATTATTTTCCTGGAAACAAGTTTTTTCACCCAAACTGGAAACACAAAGAAATAAAAATCAATGCTTACTCTGAAGGAACAAAGTTTTCTCTTTCAGTATTTCTTCTCCCTGGTTATTAATAAGTAAGTCATATAGCATATAAAGTAATTCCCAAGTGTCCTCAAGAACATCTTCAAATATGCTCATACGTCTAGAGTATGAATATAATAAACAGAATCCTGGAACCCTGACTAGAAAAAATATTTTGAAAGCAAATTTTCATTACCAGATTGGAAAATGTGCTTCCTAAGCAGATGATAAACCTGTTCATCATTCATGATACTACTGATATTATGTAAAACTCCATAGGATTAGTGCCAAATTATGGAATAGTAGCCCCTTGAGTAGCCCAGAACTTACTGGTGACATTGAAAAGAGGCTATTAAAAATCTCCATATCAAGTTAAATATACCCTTTGGAAGTCCCTTTATATAAATAAAATTATCCAGAAATGCACATGTTAACCATTCATTTAAAAGATGTTGAAGTTGCAAGTGCACCATAATTTCTATTTACAGCATCAGGAACAGAGACATTAATAAAATGTTTCAACACCACCTATAATTGAAAACAGATTTAGACTTTATTAAGTAAAAACAAATTTCATGATAATCATTCCTAAAAGTTACTACTTTGATACTACTTCCCAAGTACTTACTTAGATCCAGTTTCAGCTTCTGGGTTCTCTCTTTCTATATGCTCCATTCCAGAACTGTCAGAGGTATTCATTTTCCCCTTTTCCATGTGATTCTGTGAATTTAATTTTTTACAGAATATCTGCTTACCATAAAAAGGTTCAAACTTTCTAATAATTAACTTGGAAGAAAAATAATATAATTTTGGTTTTATGTATTGTAACTCGAAGAGATTTTCTAAAAATTCACAGTGAGAGAGTATTATAAAACATAATCTCATACATTATTAAACAGCCTTTAACAATACAAAGTCTTTAAAACATTCATATACTTTGATCCAGTAAAATCATTTCAGAATCTAACTTAAGAAAATAATTTAAAAAGATTTCAATACTTGAATATTCACTAGATTACATAAAATAGCAAACACTGTAAGTAGAATAATATTCCAAAAATCAATAAATGGTTAAATGAACAGTTAGACCACACTGATAGATTATCTTTAAAAATTTTGTTTTCGGCTGGCAGAGTACCTCAAATGGTACAGCACGTGCCTAGCAACCATAAGACCTTGAGTTCAAGCCCCAGTACTGCCAAAGAAAACTGAATTAATAAAAAATTAAAAAATGTTTTCAAAATATACTTAATGACATTAAAAAATATTGATAAAATGTTAAATACCAAAAGATACAAAACTGAATAGTTGAACAGTTCCAGAGAAAATGGTTTTAAATATTATACACATTATGTTTAAACTATAGAAATACTTACTTACAGAGAGAGAAGAAAGGAGAGAAGAGTGCAGAGAGGGGAAATAAAGTTTATAAAAGACAATCGGGAATGTGACTGCCAAGGTTTATGTAAAGGAGTTGTGGGCATAATTTCATGAATAGCTAGTATAAGAATGTTTTGAATAAACATTTTTTGAAAATAAACAAAAAATAGATTTATTACCACTGAGGATCTCTCAAATCATATGCCCCAGATTCTTAAAAAAAAAAAAAAATACGTAGTAGATGGGGGAAGAGGGAGAATAATGGAGGGGAGGAACAAACCAGAGTACAAAATATGTATATATGGAAATGTCACAAAACACCCCCTATATAATTATTGAGTACTTAAAAAAGACATAAAAAAAGAAAATAAGTAAATAGGAGACAAATAAAGATGGGAATAAATATTTAATGTTTTAATATGCTTTTATCTGTTTTAATATCAGGAAGAGCAGTTTGTAATTAAAAGCTAAATATTTTTATTACCAACTATTTAGGAAATATTTTTATAATTTTAATTTCTATAAAATCTATCTCATCATACCTCTTCAACAGGAGTTTCTGAATGTAAACTCTTGCTCTCTGCATGTGTTTTGCCAGATTTCTTCCCAGCTGCTCTTGAAAGATTAGGTTTAGGTCTCTGGAGCCGACCTCTCAAATTCAGTTTGGAATTTTGTGCTTGATCGGTTACCCTAAAAAATTAATATTATGTAAATTGCAACCAACATGCAGTCATATTCAAATGAAACTACAAAAAGACTGAATTCAAAACCCATTCCCCCCTACCCAAAAAAGGGGAATACCAAAGAAAATTGAAAACTAGGCTACTTATTTCATCAAGTATTAAAAAGTTAGTATTCAATATCAATTTTTAAGAGTGTAGTGGCACTAACATAAAAATAAACAGATAAAAGAAACAAATGAAATCCAGAAAATGATTCTTAACACACAAAAAATTTTAGCACATAATAAAGGTTGCAACAGAAAACAGTGAAAAGATGAAGCGCAAAATACAGGATACTTAGAAATAAATATTACATTAAACTAAATAAATAGTGATGAGAAAACTAGGTAACTGAGAAAGAAATAGAGTCAGCTCCATCCCTTGCACTGTGCCGACAATATATTCTAAGCGAATCAAAGATTTAAATGGGGCTGGATGTGTAGCTCAAACCATATAGCATCTACATAGCAAGCAGGAAACCCTGAGTTCAAATGTCAGTACAAAAAACAGTTATTTTATAACCCTGATATGATAAAAAAAAATGTTGAGAAATCTGACAACATAAAAGCCACAACTTTTATGTGGCCAAAACATTAAAGCTAATTCAGAAGGCAAACTACTACAGAACAAGAAGCTCGTGTCACAAGGTAATCTCCCAAAATATACAGGGCTTCTATGAAACGTTATCACCAATACACATTAAAAAATTGCCCAAAGCTGGGGATGTCACTCAGTGGTAGAGCATAAGCTTAGCAGGTACAAAACCCTGGGTTTAATTCCCAGGATTACAAGAAAAAACTGGTCAAAGATTGGAGGTGTGGCTCAAGCAGCAAAGCACCTGCTTAACAAGTGTAAGGTTAAGAGTTCAAACCCCAGTACCACCAAAAAATAAATAAATAAAAATATCCAACGCAAAAGGGCTGGCAAAGTGGTTCATGGGTTCAACCCAAGTCAAAAAACACAAGAGAGGGAAAGTAGCCGAAAAACAAAAAGACTAAGAGAGGAAAATAATATTTCTGCCACAAAAACAGTAAATATGAAGACAGGCAGAGTAGAAATGCAGACAGGGTGATAGAGTAGATATGCAGACAGGCACTATTTGCTGATAAGGAAGATGAGTTCTCTTTTACATGGTTAATGGGAATATAAACCACTACAACCCCAAAGGAGATCATTTTGACAGTATAAAATTCATAAATACATAAATGTATGTATGCATACACATACACAAACACATTCTTTCAACAAGCAGTTTCATTTTTAGGAACATATCTCACATACACACTTGCATTAAGTTAAAAAAAAAAAAAAAAAGCGCCACTGGCTCACACTTATAATCCTAGCTACATATTAGGCTGACATGGGAGGATTGTAATTTGAGGCCAGCCCAAGGACTAGAGCATGGGAACTCCATCTCCAAAATAACAGATTAAAAATTGACTGGATGTGTGGCTCAAGCGGCAGAGTGCCTGCTTTGTAATGATGAAGTCTGCCCTGAGTTCAAACTGCACTCTCATCACAAAAAATCTAAATTTGCCAGGTGCCGGATGCTGACATCTGTAATCCTAGCTACTCAGAAGGCAGAGATCAGGAGCACTGTGGTTCAAAGCCAGCCTAGGCAAACAGTTCCACAAAACCCTATCTCAAAAAAACCCTTCAGAAAAATAGCGCTAGTGGAGTGGTTCAAGGTAAAGGCCCTGAGTTTAAGCCCCAGTACAATCAATCAATCAATCAATCAATAGCCAGGCACTGGTGCCTTACACCTGCCTGTTATCGTACCTACTTGGAAGGCAGAGATCTGGAGGATGAAGACTTAAGGCCAGCCCAGGGAAACAAATAGTTCGAGAGACCACCCCATCTCCAAAATAACCAGAGGAAAATAGACTGAATGGCTCAAGACATAAAGCACCTGCTTTGCAAGTGAGAAGCCCTCAGTTCAAACCCTAGACCCAGGGGAAAAAAAAGTCAGTACAAGATTATAAGCAGGTTTATAAAAAAAAATTTATATAGCCATCAATAGGATACTGATAATATGAACTACAATACATCCAAAAAACAGAATACTATTGTTATAAAAAGAACAAGGACAGCTTTTACGTAGAAGTATGAAAACACAAGAAAAAAGTACTGCAAAATGTTATGTACAGTATGCTATGATTAGGTTTTGAAAGAAAGAAAAAATTGTTTAATAACTTGATGTACAGTTTTTAAAATATCTCAAAGAACATAAATAATAATGGTCACTGTTGGAATCAAAGATAACAGAGTGGGACAACTATAATGCTAATAATAAAAGAAAAAAGAAAAAAAGATAATGATGGAAAGGAGACTTTGCTGTATGCTCTTTGTTTTTTTGTTGTTGTTGTTTTAAGGGCCTCACCCTTGCTTTGCAGGCCTCTCTACCAGTTGAGCCAGTCTGCCAGCCCTGTTTTGTGTTGGGTATTTTCAAGATGGAGTCTCTCTAACTATTCTGCTGAGCTGACTTTGAATCTTGATCCTCCTGATCTCTGCCTCCTGAGTAGCTGGGATTATAGGCATGAGCCATGGCACCTGGCTTTTTATACTTTTTGATGTTTGAACCATACTAATTTATTGCTAACACATGAAAGTAATTTCAGGGCTAGGAGCATGTATCAAAAAGTAGAGAGACAGCCAAGCAAGTACAAGACCCTGAGTTTAAACCTCAATATAGCCAAAAAATAATAATAATTTATTTAGCCAATAATATTTAAAAAAAGGAAAACTTGACCCTCAATGTGACTGTGATTTACTGATAGATAATAAATAAGAATTCCTGAACTGAATGGCTTTTAAGTCCATGAGGTGAAGGAAAAAAAGAGGAACTTGAAAATTTGTGGTATCTTTTCAAAGAAAATTCCTATGGCACTTTTATCCAGTGAAAATATTAAGTTAGCACTTCCTTAAAGTTGTCATCAATATAAATAATGCCATAACAGTAACTCAAACTGGACTGGAGGTGTGGCTCAAGCAACAAAGTGCCCACTTTGCAAGAGCAAAGCCCTGAGCTCAAACACCACTCCCACCAAAAATTTAAAAAAAAAAAAAAACTTAAACCAAATCAAAGTAAAACTTCAAAGCAAATATTTAGGCTTCCAAATTATCTTAGAAATTCATTGTAAGTTATCACCTTGATAAAATTCATAGCACTATTACACATCAAATAAAATCTTTCTATAATGCAATATAAAGTGAAAAATCCAGACATCATACTCTTAAAAGGCCACAGTAAAATTACATTGCAAGTGGTCTATGTATTAATAGTCTCTTCTACTCCATAAGTTCTCACTTAAGAACTTCATCAGAAAAAAAATAAATAAATAAGTTCACTTAAGAACTTATCAAAGACTAGAGATGTAGTCCAGTGGTAGAATGCTAGCCTATTAAGTGTGAGGCCCCAAGTTCAAACCCCAGCACTTAGGAAAAAAACAAAAAGGATGTTTAAGAATCTTACCAAATTTATGAAAATAAATAAAACCTACCATGTAAAATACTTACACTGATTTATTCTTTAGGTCATCATTTCTTTCTTCTGTACCACCACTCTCAGCATTACTCACTTCACACAATGCTGCAATTTCAGCTTCTGATGAAAGTAAACCTGAAGTGCTCATTGATCCTAGAGACTCAGTAGTTGCTGGCATGGTATCTTGTTGATTACTAAAGAAATAAAAATGTATCAACGGGAAAAGAATTCCTGGCAACACATATTTTCATACTAACTGAAAGAGTTTTTAAATACACAAAGCCAGGCTGGGGATATAGCTCACTGGTAAAGCACTTGCATGGGTTGAACCCCCAGCACTACAAATAAATTAAACAAATAAACAAGGAAAATCAACAGTTTGGAAAATGATTCTTTACATTATGGAACAAAGCTATTATATTAGCTTTTCTAACTTTTGTTTTGGTTTGGTTTTTCGAGACAGGGTCTCACTACATAAACCGGGTTGCCTATGAATTCATGATCCTCCTTCCTCAGTGCTAGATTACAGGCAAAAATCACCACATCCAGTTCTGCTGGATTTTCTGTGATCTACTTTCATGCAAGGTAGCAGCACCAACCTAACAGGCTTGGGAAAATACTCAAGAAGTCTCAAAATGAAAACTATTAGTTCAATGTGGTTCAGAAATAAAACATACCTATAAAATAATATTTAGGAATTAGCTTTCATTAAAATTTTGTATTGGCAGTCTTTGGTTTGCATTACACTATGTTAACCAAATTGTGTGAAGACATGGTTCACAAATTACAGTTAACACTGAAACGTGCAAAGCAAGGACTACAGCATGATGAAACATTTCAATAAACAATAATACAACTGATGGCCACATACTAACTAGCAGTGTTTCAATACGTACTCACATTCAGTCAATTTTCTTTCTCATTTTCTATACTAGGTGTTTGTGTTCTGCCAAAAGATCAGTAAAAAGTTCTATGTATAGTTATTGGCTGCATGTTTCACATAAAACTTCCCAATCAGTAGTGTACTTTTAACTTTCTTCATGGAATTTTAGTTAACACAAGCATCTGATTTTTCTATTGTCTAAAGAAATGCTTAATACCACAAAAATATTTAACTATATTTCTTCTAGAAGGCTTAAAGATTTGTTTTATACATGAAGTTGTTTCTTTGTTGGTTTTTTATTGTTACTGGTGGGGGCGTTTTTTTGGGGGGTTTTTTTGATGGGACTGAGGTTTGAACTCAGGACTCTGCACTTGCAATGCAGGCACTCTACTGCTTAAGCCACACCTACAGTCCATTTTCCTCTGGTTATTTTGGAGATGGGGGTCTCACAAACTATTTGCTAGGGCTGGTCTCAAAACTCGATCCTCCTGATAGCCTCCCAAGTACTTAGTCTTACAGACATGAACCAGCTGCACCCTACTTACACGAAGTTATTAACCAATCAATAAGTTAATGGGGCTGGAAAAAGTGGCTTATGTGCCTACCTAGTATGCATAAGGCCCTGAGTTCAAATTCCAATGCTACAAAAAAAAAAAAAACAAGAATTTAACAGGAATTCTAGACACATTTCTAGTTCATGTACCTGCACATGTGACCTTTGTGAACAGAAATTTGCAAGTGTAACTTGTGTTTAATTGTAACTCTCTGGTTATATACTGCTTATATCTGTAGAAGCAAGTTACTGAAGTAAATACCAATAAAAAGTTAAAAAACTAACAACACAAAAAAAAAAAAATTATGAGGACTGGAGATGTGGGGACGTAGCTCAATAACTGAGTATTTGCCTAGCATGCACAAGGCCTTGGGTTCAAATACCAATACTGAATAAAAAAGTTAATGGAGGACTGCGGGCGTACACAAGGTGTGAGTTTAATTTTACCACCACAAATTAAGTAAACAAACAAACAAAACCAATTATGGTATAATGTGAAGGTTCAAATGACAGAGCACCTGCCTAGCAAGAGTTGGGCCCTAAATTCAAACCCCAGTACATCCGGGGGAGAAAAAAAAAAAAAAAGGTAATGGATATGGTAAAATATCAATCTAATGTTATCTTTTTTCACATTTTAGCAGCATTTAATGAATATCAGTTCAAACTTTGCCCACTGATTTCTAAAACTACCTCTGCCATACAATATATTCCTAAATGACTCTTCCTACACTAGACATTTGGTTCCACTGAGTCAATCTGTCTCTCTCTTTACCAGTGTCACACTGTTTTAGCTTTACTTATTTGTTTGGTTTTGCATTGGGTCATACTGTATAGCCCAGGCTGACCTGGAACTCCTGATTGTCTGGTCTCAGCCTCCCAAGGGCTGGGTTTACAGGTACATACAACCATGCCTAGCCCCCTATTCTAGCTTTAGAATAAACCTTAAACATTCCCTCTCCACAACTGGACAATTTTTAAATAAATTCACTGTTTACCAAAAACAGTTGGAATTTTGTCTAACACAGGGATCTAACACATGACGGACAGCACTTATACCCCAGATCAAAGAGTGGGGATTTTTTAACATTCATTACAGCATTGTGTTGTCACTAAATTAGAAAAAGTCATGATGAGTATGATATTGTATATAGTTTATGAAATAGTTATATCATGGAAGTCACACACTGGTCAAATAGCAACAAACAACTACAACACTGTAAAACTCCACATAAATGAACTATCTAGAATACCAGATTCACAAAGATAGTAAATAGACTAGAGGGTACCAGGGGTTATGGGAAGGGAAAATGGGAATTACTGCATAATGAGGATAGGGTTTTGTTTATGATGATGAAAAAGTTGTACAAAGTGGTAATGATTGCACAAGAACATAAATGTAATTAACGCCGCAAAATAGTACACTAAAAGTGTTCAATCCACCACACAAAAAAAGATAAGAAAATCTTTTAGAAAATTTAAAAGCACCAACCAAAAGAAAGCTATAATGGCAAAGTGAACATCAATATAAGAACTAGTCAGGGTCAGGCACCTGTGTCATGCCTATGCACAGATCAGGAGGATTGAGGTTCAAGGTCAGCCCAAGGAACAAGAGACCCTACCTGAAAAATACCCAACAAAAATAAGAGCTGGTAAAGTAGCTAAAGTTGTAGAGTGACTGTCTTGCAAGCATGAAGCCCTGAGTTCAAACCCCAGTACTGCAAGAAAAGAACAAAGAAGCAGTCAGGTGTGGTGGTACACACCTGTAATCTCAGCACTTAGGACGCTGAGACAGGAGGTTCTCAAGTGAAGAACAGCTTAGGCTACATAGCAAGACCCTGTCTATAGAAAGGAAAAAAACAAACAAAAACCCAACAACACAATGATAAAAAACCCAACAACACAATGATAAAAAGCTATTTCCTTCTTGGGGAGCTAAAAGGAAAAACACAAATCCACAATTTGCATTTGGGAATTCAATACTCTCAAAATAATCAACAAAAGACGTAGAAAGCCAGGAAAGATAAAGAAAATACCTTGCTGAAATGATAGGGTCAGGTTTCTTGTCATGTTCAGCACTAGAAGCTAACTGCACAATGTCATCTGTGTTCTCCGTACAGGAAAGCATCTCTTCTTTATTGCATTCACCTTCATTTGCCTCAAGCATTAAAGGCTGAGAATTATCTAGAAATATAAAGTGCATGTTATTCTAAAAAGCAAAATCTTTATCCTTTCCTGCAAAATATTAATATACTCAATACTCAAGTTCTTATTTGTAAGGTTTATGGATTATTTAAAGCATAATTTAATAAACTTAAAATTGTTTGTGTTTTGAGGACAAGCCCAGGTTTTCCTGGGTAGTTTTAAGCAACTTCCTTTTTTTATTTTGTTTTTGCTTTTGTTTTTCTGAGACAGGGTCTGACTCTTTAGCCCAAGGGGCCTCAATGTTGAAATCCTCTTGCCTCTGCTTCTCAGCAGAAGCCACCACACCAGGTTGCAATTTTCTTTCCTCTTGCTTCAACTTTAAGTGCTTAAATTGACTTGTTTTAAATGTCTAGTAAGGAAACCAAAAGTGGACTTCACTATTCTTTTGCTCCCTCAGAAGTATATTAATTAATAATACAGTAATAGCTACCATTTATTGAGTACAACTAAATGGAAGGAACTCTTAAGTCCATCAGATGCATTATCTCATTGAATACTCAAAACAATCCTATTAAGAAGCATTAATATTAATCCCATCATAAAGATTCACCTAAACTCAGAGATCTTAAGTGACTTTCTCAATGTCAGACTTAAATAAGAGCTAAGACTTAAAGCACAGCCTGTTTTATTTCTAAAATCTGATTTCTGAATCAGACTGCTAGTCTACTTTATATGTAATGTCCTTTGTAATGTTAAACTACAAAGAATATAGTGTTATAATGCTAATAAATCAGACTACTTTAATTACAAGGACACATTTATTAAAATCATTTTGGTAAAGATAAACTACATGAAATTTAAATTTCATAGAAAAGCTGAGCACCAGTGGCTCACACTTATAATCAAAAACAAAACAAAAAAATTCCACAGAAAAGTGATTTGGTGTGATACTACCTTTTCCTCCTGTCTTTACTTGATTATCTGTTTTTTGGTACGTGTGTTTTGTTTTGTTTTTATGTGCAAGGGAATGAACCCAGGACCTCGTGCACGAGAGGCACACAAATTACCACCAAGCCTCCTCTCAAACTAAGTCTTCTTTTCCTAGCGACTTATAAGTACCAGTATGTTTGCATTCTAAAGCTAAGAAAGAAAAATGAAAGAAATATGAAATCCACTAGTTCTTTCACAAAATTAAACAATCCACTGTAGGTTCAGAGATACTCCATGCAGTCAGACCAGAAAACCCTGTGATTCATTAGCAGACATAAAATTACTAATCACTGTTAAAAGGAATCAAAAGGAAGTAACACATTTTAGAAACACACATCAGAGAAAAGTCTCCCTGAGCTTCTTTTTTTGGTGGCACTGGGGTTTGAACTCAGGGCCTCACGCTTGACAGGCAGGTGCTATTACCCTGTGAGCTGCTCACCAGCCCATTATTGTGATGGGTTTTTTTGAGGTAGGGTCTCACAAACTATTTACTGGGGGCTGGCTTCAAACTGCTATCCTCGTGATCTCTGCCTCCTGAGTAGCTAGGAGCCACAACTGCTTTTTTTTAAACAACCTTTTTGTTCTTTACTTAAAAATAAAAGGATTAGCTGGGTGCTGGTGGCTCATGCCTGTAATCCTAGTTACTTGGGAGACTGAGATCAAGAGAATCCATGGTTTGAGGCCATCACGGGCAAACAGTTCTTGAGAACCCCATCTCCAAAATAATCAAAACAAAATGGACTAAAGCTGTGGATCAAGTGGAAGAGCTTCTGCTTTGTAAGAATGAAGCCCTGAGTTCAAACCCCAGTCCCACCAAAAAAATAAAAAAAAGGATTTAACACAGAATCTGAATGGAGACAGAAATAATTATCATGCATTATAAATTTTGGCTATCCACAAGTATTTCGTATACTGTATATGTCTTCTCAGGTAATAGGGAAGCTATTAGAATGTGTAAGAAACTTACCCTTGTGTTTTTCTCCTTCAGAAGGACCTGACTGAAGAGTGGCACTTCCTAAAAGATTTTTTGCTTCCTGTCCATTAGCTTCATCTTGATTCTTCTTTCTCCTTTTGTTTTGATTTTGATCTTGTTCTAATGCAACTTGTCCTGCATCCTGTCCTGATGAAATCAGAGATTCCTCTTCTTCAACTATCTGAGCATCATTTTGAGATCTTTCTGTGTCTGAAATTTTAGTACTCACTGACTCATCTGGATCATCATTCACTCCTTCCCTAGTAACTTTTTTCACTGAAAACAAGAGAAATGGTTATAAATACACTTACAGAAAAATTCTTCAAGGTGAATAAGATAAATAATCCAGGGTGCCCTCCATAACATTATTTGTGTGAGCAAAAATCGAGAATCTAAAATAGGGAATGATGAAGTAAGTTATAATACAGCCAAGCTATAGAAATCCATGCAGCCAAACCAGGTGCCCTTGACTCACATCTATAATCATAACTACTTGGAAGGCTGAGATCAGGAGGATCACAATTCAAGGCCAGCTGGGGCAAATAGTATGAAAGACCCCATTTCCAAAATAACTGGAGGAAAATGAACTAGAGGTGTGGCTCAAGTAGTAAACAGCCCACTTTGTAGGCAAAAAGTCCTGTGTTCAAACCCCACCTCCACCAAAAAAATAAAAAGAAAAAATCCACGCAGGTAAAGGTTTGAGCTCAGTGGTAGAGCATATCCTTATTAGCATACAAGCACCAGAAAAAAAAAAAGGGCTAAAGTTATGGCTTTAACAGACTTAAAGTTTGAGTTCAAGCCCTAGCCCCGCAAAAAAGAAAAGTGTGGGCAATAACAAGTAACAATAATGAAATAGGTTTATATGTAGTAATAAAAATCTCAATACCTTATTGGGGATGAGCCACACATGAACTCTCAATTCCTGACAAGTCTATTACTACTAAACAAAATTGTACATTTTCTTATAAAAAGCAATACCTTTCACATTTCTCCGTGGTTTGAAGGACTTCTCCTTTACACTCTGATTTTTAACGGATTTTTGTTTTCTTTTCTCTTCCTCAGCAAGAACTTTCTGAAGCAAATGAGCAAAAAAATCGAAGTCAAAAGGGCGTTTTTCCTCTGTTTAAAAAAAAAAAAAAGGAAAAATAGTTCAAATTTTTATTTCAAAAACAAAAGGGAAAAGAACTTTGTAGTTTTCAAAGTATCATAACATCAAAGGCAAAGAGACTTAATATAGCAGGAGAATGGATAAATGAGTACACAAGAGAATACCACACAGCAATAAAAGGGAAAAACTAGTTAAAAAAATAAAAGAGCTGGGGGTATAGCGCAGTAGTAGAGCACCTGTTTAGTATGTGCAAGGCACTGGGTTCAATCCCAGTACCATGAAATATAAATTAAATTAAATTTAAGGAATAAACTATTGATACAGGCAATAAACTGGGCAAATCTCAAAAACACAGTGAGTAAAAGAAATCAAAATGTACAAAACAGTACATGTTGTATGAAGCCACGAATGAGATGTGGAACAGGCTAAACTAACCCATGGTGATTCAAATGAAAATAGTGGCTGTCTTGACCCAGCAGGACAGGATTTAACTGACTAGAAATGAAACCATGGCACCTTCTGTGGTGATGATAATGTTTAACATATAATTTGGGTCGGTGATTATATATGTCCTTTTTTTTTTTTTCATAATGAGACTAGTGCTTGATTCAGGGCCTCTTGCTTGCTAGGCAAGTGTTCTACTATTTGACCCATGCCTCAAGCTCCTTTTTGCTTCAGTTATTTATCGTATGGGGTCTTGTGCTTTTTTGCCAGGACCAGCCTCAGATTGAGACCCTCCTACCTATGCCTCCTGAACAGCAGGCATTACAGACATATATCACCATGCCCAGCTGGCTTTTTGAAAGAGGGCCTTTCATACTTTATTGCCTAGAGTGGCCTTGAACCTTGAGCCTCCTATCTCTACCTCCCGAGTAAGCCACCATCTATCTGTTTTGACTCGTCACAAACATGAACTAGCACTCGAAGAATCTAAAAAGTATCTCTAAATAGTTCTCAGAGAAGTCAAAATATAAATTCTTCCCCCCAAAAAAAATCCACAAAGGTTTTATTTGTTTTCTACTACAAAGCATCAAAATCAGAAAAAAACTATACATTTATAGATTTATGAATTATATTCTGATTATGTTAAACTAAATGAAAAGTTCCTGTATTCACAATATTCCTGACCTTCCAGGAAATGGTTTCCCTGAAGACCCAATAAAACATTGGGTGTAAAATTCACTCATGTATCTACCCTCCAGAAACAATCCCTTAAACATAACTCCTTCACAAAAAAGAAACACTTTGAGCCTGGTGCCAGTGACTCATACCTGTAATCCTAGCTACTCAAGAGGCACAGATTAGGAAGACTGAGGTTTGAAGCCAGCCCAGGCGGATAGTTCACAAGACCCTATCTTGAAAATACCCCATACAAAAAAGGGCTGGTGGAATGGCTCAAATGGTAGAGTCTGCCTAGCAAGCATGAGGCCCAGAGTTCAAACTGCAGTGCCACCAAAAAGAAAGAAAAGAAACACTCTGAAGCGGATCATTAGTCCCTCTGTAGCTTCTTAGACTGAGAACTTGGCTCATCTGCTCTGAGTATTTTGGCTAATCCTTTGCTTTTGGGTTTGGTAGGAGATTTGTAGCAACTCCAAACCCATACTTTTAAAAAGAAACTTACCAGTCTTATTATTCATATGTCAAAAATGGAGCCAAAGAAAAAACACTGGTCACTATTAGTCTCAACAAAAGACACTTTGCAAAAGAGGTGTTTAATACTTACGGAATGCTTTGTCTATTCTCCATCCATTTGTTTTTTCTTCACGCTTAAATTTATTCTGTCAACAACAACAAAAAACCTATAGTAATTTTTTTACATTAAAAAAGTGAAGTTTTTTTAAATTATTAAAGCATTACAATGAAACTTTTATAGAAAACATATGATTCTCTTATAAGTGATACATCTTTGCCAATAGGCAAGTTACTTAAAGCTATAGCTTTTAAAAAAAAATAAGAATGAAGACTATGCTAAGTTGACCTTTATTAACAATAGCATGAATCAGTAATGGAAACTGAATTTACGGACAAAAAAAAAAAGTAGCACGGATACAGACAAATCTACAGTCCATTAATCTAACAAGTATTAACTTTATACTAAAATATAAATAAAATCCTCTAATCATATTACTCCTCTTACGTTATAGCTCTAATATACTGTAAGTGGCCTGGAAGGTAGATTGTACAGAAACAGTGAGGAAAAACTTTGAAGCAGACAATATTTAACTCTGAGATCCTCTACATTCTAAGACATTTCCGCACATTTTTCTCATCACCAAAGATCTCTATCCTCAGTTCCACTCCAGATTAGCTCCATTAAAATGGAGAGGAAACTGAAGGCCTGGCTCAAGTGCTGAAACTCCTGCCTAGCAAGTGCGATGCCCTTGAGTTCAAACTCCAGTACCGCCAAAAAAACCAAAAAATTAACAGGTTATAACAACTAAATTACAACATTCTGAGAAAAATGCCAGTAGGTTCCAGGCACTTCATTCTAAAACTGCTTCGTCATATTTCACATAATGGGTAATATAATTCATAACAATTAAATGTTTTTGAAGAATGTATTAATGTCATTTATTTCACAGTAGATCAATTAAATAATTATAAAATACAACCCATAATTTCCACCTTTGACCCCAACAAGATTGTTGATTAGACTTGTTTCAGACCATGAATAAATTTAATACTGAACAAAGTATATGCATAAACTACTTGCAAGTACTGGAGAATAATTAATAGAGTTGTTAGACTATAATATGCTAGATGTGGTGGCACATGTGTATTAACACAGCAGGCAGATCAAGAGCTTGTGGCCAACCTGAGCTACATATCAAGTTCAAGACCCTTCTGGGATGCATAGCAACACCCTGTCTCAAAACACCAAAAAAGTCAGGCACTAGTGGCTCACAACTATAATCCTAGCTACTCAGGAGGTAGAAATCAGGAGGACTGAAGTTCAAAGCCAGCCAGAGGAAATAGTGGATGAGACCCTATCTCAAAAGTATCCAACAAAAAAAGTGCTGGCAGCTGGGTGCCAGGGGCTCATTCCTATACTCCTAGCTACTTGGAAAGCTGAGATCCAGAGGATCTCAGTTTGAGATCGGCCTGGGCAAACAGTTCAAGGAACCCCAGAGTGGCTCAAGTGATAGAGCATCTGCCTAGCAAGCATGAGGTCCTGAGTTTAAAACACACACACAAAAAAAAAAAAAAAAACCTAAAGAAAATGTAACAAAATTCAGCAATACATAAAATAAATATGGTATAACCAAATGGAGTTGATCCCAGGAATATAAGGTTAATCATCTAAAAATCACTATTATGCACTTAACCAATCTTAAAAAGTCCATTTTCACTTTCTGTCCAAAGTCCTACTGGAATTACACTAACCATTTAAGGAAAGAGTTTAAATGATTTCTGAGAAATAGTCCAGTGACAATTTATTTATAATTATTCAGATTAAGAGACCTCCAACCCAAATCAATTTCTAGACTTCAAAGAACTTTAATGTGATACTCTCCATTTAACAAAGTTCAACATTAGAAAATGAACAGTAAGTAACCAAGAAACATATGTTGCGTAACTGTGACCTCTGCCTTATGGGCTGGTCGTGGGGAAGGATTTAACGCACAAAGCCCTTAAACTTCAATAAAAGACCTGTGCCAGTGGTAGAGGCCTGCCTAGCAAGTGTGAGACCCAGAGTACCCCAATAAAAAAACCCAGTACCACCAAAAAAAAACCTGTATGGGGGTAATATTAATTTGTTCTCACCCTAGAGGTAATCTGCTTTTAGTTTACTGAAAAGTATATTATTTTCCTAATAAACTCTATCACTTTCGTTCAAAAGAAGAAAATGAACCTTAAAAAATAAAGAATATAAGCATTCCTCATCTTTTGAGCAAAACTATTCCATTATACCATACAATTCCCATTACATAATGTCCCTGGGCAAATGATCCATCCCAAAGTAAAAATGGACTAGGAAAGCAACAGTTAGCTCAGTTATATGAATGGTACTAAGGTTTGAAAGAAATTATTTTTTTCTGGCAGTATTGGGGTTTTGAATCCAGGGCTTTTGGGCTTACTAGGCAGGCACAATGCTCTCTGTGTCATGCCTCCAGCCACAAGCGCAGCTGTATGTTAATTCAGCATTCTTCCCATTATGCCCTTCTAGAAAACTCAGAAATATTTTTTTCCTTTTTGGGGTGGTAATGGGGCTTGAACTCTGCGCATCACACTTGCTAAGTAGGTGTTCTACTATTTGAATCACTCTGCCTACCCTTTTTTGTGTTGGGTATTTTTGAGATAAAGTTTCTTTCTTTCTTTTACCTGGGCTGGCTTCAAACGGCTATCCTCCTGATCTCTGCCTCTGAAGTAGCTGGGCTCACACCAGTGGCGCTGGCCAGAAATGTATTTTTGTTCAAAAGCCACCTTTAACCTAAGTATTCTAGCATATATTTATCCTCTCTTTTCATTAACTTTTCTTTTTTTCTTGACAGTACTGGAGGTTGAGCTGGAGGCCTTGAACTTGCTAAGCAGGTACTCCACCACTTAAGCCTTGCCCCCAGCCCCGGTTTTTTCATCGGTTATTTTTGAGACAGCATCTCCATTTAATGCCCAGACCGATCTGTAACTGCAATCCCCCTGTAACTGCTTCTATGCGTGGCTGGAATAACAGGCACATGAACCTTGCTGAGTCATGGATTAAGATGAGATCTCAAAAACTTTTTGCCTGGCTAGCCTGAAAACACAGTCCTCCAGCACTCTGCTTCCAAAGTAGCTAGAATACAGATTGAGCAACCACACCCAGTTTGGTTTCATTAGCACTTAATTTCAGTGTCTTTATCAGTAAAACATTTTAGAACTGATTCTGAAGTTAAGAAAATTGTACCCATATTAGAATTGAGAAATGTTACATTGCTTTTCAACCAGTAAAGGAAAAATATAACAAAAACATAATAGCGAAAAATTGGACTATGATTTAAACTGAAGGTAAAAAGAATTAGTAAGGTTTGGACTCTTCTCAACCAACAAATGTGATGGATGTACTTTACCTTAATTTCTATCCTTGCTCTGTGAGGAAAAAGTTGTCCAATCATAGAAAAGTCAGTTCCTACCATGCTGATGGCTAAGAAAAACATATCCGTTTCTATAAAGAAAAAAGATTTAGAATCACTGAAAATTAATCTTTTCTGAGAAAAGAAATCTAAGTATTAAAAATGAGTTTGAAAAACTGACAATACTTAAATTTCATCACACAGAACCTCATGGAATATCCGAAAACTTAAAACATTTAAAAAAATAGTATAAGAAATTTTCATAATCCTACCCAAGCAACCAGAAGTTTTAAAAGACTTTCTATTACCTGGTCTCATTCAAAATGCCTTGAAGAAAATTGTTATTCATGGTCAGTATGAGTTATGTGCATAAGATATACTAAATAAACAGCACATAAAGGAAGCAGCTAAGGGTGGACATGGTGGGATTACAGGCCTATTATCCCAGCATTTAGGAGGCTGAGACAGTAGGATATTAAGTTTGAGGCCAATCTGGGCTACACACTGAGACTCTATTAAAACAAAAAAGGAAAGGAAGAAAGCTGAGAGGAGGGAAGGCCAGAAGGAAAAAAGGGATGGAGGGAGGGAGGAAAAAAATAATTGAGAAACTTGATAGAAGTTTAGGAATGCTACAATTAGGAAAAGGAAGTATATAATCCTTGTTTTTGCTCTATATCCTCCTATCATGTTTAAATTTTTTTCCAAAACTCTGCTGCTTTTACAATTAAAAAGAGAGTAATCACCACCACTAGGAAATAAATACTAGGTAGTTTGGTTTGGTTTGGGGCTTTTTGAGACAGAGTCTCACTATGCATCCCTGGCTGGCTGCCAACTTACCATCCTCTTGCCTCTACCTTCTGCATTCTGGGATTATAGATGAGCTCTACCACATCTAACCCTGCATATTTTTTAATAGTTTTTAAAGATTGGGTCTCTCTACATAGCCCAGGCTGGTCACAAACTCAAAATTCTTCTGCCTCGGCTTCCCGAATGCTGGAATTACAGTAGTATTCCACCACACATGGCTAACAGCATAATTTTTACCTACAGAAACTTTATTATCCAATACTGTCTAAAGTAGAACATTATAACAAATAGAAACATTAATTTTTCATTTTGAAAGGAGTTTGTTTGAAACCCCAGCAGCACAGCAACTAAGAGATAGCATAGATAAATGGGACCTCATAAAACTAAAAAGCTTCTGTTCATCAAAAGAAATGGTCTCTAAACTGAAGAGAACACCCACAGAGTGGGAGAAAATATTTGCCAACTATACATCAGACAAAGGACTGATAACCAGAATATACAGGGAACTTAAAAAACTAAATTCTCCCAAAACTAATGAACCAATAAAGAAATGGGCAAGTGAACTAAACAGAACTTTCTCAAAAGAAGAAATTCAAATGGCCAGAAAACACATGAAAAAATGCTCACCATCTCTAGCAATAAAGGAAATGCAAATTAAAACCACACTAAGATTCACCTACCCGTTAGAATAGCCATCATCACACACACCACAACAGGTTTGGCGAGGATGGGGGAAAAAGGAACCTCTTACACTGTTGGTGGGAATGTAGACTAGTACAACCACTCTGGAAAAAAATTTGGAGGCTACTTAAAAAGCTAGACATGGATCTACCATTTGATCCAGCAATACCACTCTTGGGGATATACCCAAAAGACTGTTACTCCAGAGGCACCTGCACATCCATGTTTATTGCGGCACTATTCACAATAGCCAAGTTATGGAAACAGCCAAGATGCCCAGCCTGAGAATGGATTAAGAAAATGTGGTATCTATACACAATGGAATTTTATGCAGCCATGAAGAAGAATGAAATGTTATCATTTGCTGGTAAATGGATGGAATTGGAGAACATCATCCTGAGTGACGTTAGCCTGGCCCAAAAGACCAAAAATCGTATGTTCTCCCTCATATGTGGACATTAGATCAAGGGCAAACACAACAAGGGGATTGGACTATGAGCACATGATAAAAGCGAGAGCACACTAGGGAGGGGTGAGGATAGGTAAGACACCTAAAAAACTAGCTAGCATTTGTTGCCCTTAACGCAGAGAAACTAAAGCAGATACCTTAAAGCAACTGAGGCCAATAGGAAAAGGGGAACAGGTACTAGAGAAAAGGTTAGATCAAAAAGAATTAACCTAGAAGGTAACACCCACGCACAGGAAATCAATGTGAGTCAATGCCCTGTATCTATAAGCTATCCTTATCTCAACCAGCAAAAACCCTTGTTCCTTCCTATTATTGCTTATACTCTCTCTACAACAAAATTAGAAATAAGGGCAAAATAGTTTCTGCTAGGTATTGAGGGGGGGAGAGGAGGGGCGGAGTGGGTGGTAAGGGAGGGGGTGGGGGCAGGGGGGAGAAATGAATCAAGCCTTGTATGCACATATGAACAATAAAAGAAAAATGAAAAAAAAAAAAAAAAGAAAAAGGTAAAAAATGTCCCCTCTTTCTTGCTAATAAAACTTGAGAACTATTAAAAAAAAAAAAAAAGGAAAGGAGTTTGTTTGTAGAAGGATTTAACAGAGAGAAAGATTCCAGCCAAAATAAATAAAAAGCATGCTGGAAGTGTAGCTCAAGCAGTAGAGTGTCTTGCAAGAGTGAAGCCATGAATACAAAAGTTCAAACCCCAAGACCACCAAAAAAACAAGAATAAATGAGAAAGTAAATAACCAAAAAGCTAATTCTTAAAAAAAGATTTCTTGGAAGGGTTAAATGGGTCACACCTGTAATTCCAGCTAATTGAGAGGCGAAGATTGGGAGAATCACAATTTGAGACAAGCCTGGACACAAAAAGTTAGTGAGACCCTTTCTCAACCAACAAGCTCTGCATGTTGGAGCGTGCTCAGATGGGAAGGATAAACAGGAGGACCACGTTCCAGGTTAGCCTGTGCAAAAACTCAAGATCCTATTCTAAGAGCAGCTAAAGCAAAAAGGGTTAGGGGTGTGGCTCAAGTGGTAGAGCAAGTAAGTCAGAAGCCCTGAGTTCAAAACCCAGAACCTTCAAAAAAAAAAAAATTTTTTTGAAGCTACAGACACAGTACCATGATAGGCACAGATGGAAATTCAGTAAGAAATACTTACTTTCCCTTCAAAGAAAATTAGTTACCTTTATTTGACCATGGTTTAGAATAATAGTTTTTCCTAAAGCTGGAATATGTAGTTGTGGAGCCACGCTCAAATATAGGGTCATTTTCCTCAACAACACAGGGGCCTTTTGTTCTTAAAACTTCTACAGTTAAACTGAAAGAAACACATTATCAAAAAGGTTCAGACTAAAGATGAGTAAGGAAAACAGGGAGATTTAAATAGCTACATTTTAAATTTAACTATGGCATTCATATTAAAAGTATAATTATAAAAATTTGAAACAAGTGCTTTCCAAATATCTGCTAAATTTTACTTAAAATGTTATTCCCAAGGAGTAGAAAAAAATGCCAATGTTTTCAAAATCCGTAACAGAAATATAAAATTTCTAAAATACCTTTGGGCCACCTAAAACAAGTTTTGTTGACTTCAGTATACCTCCTATATTCAGTATATATTATGTGCTATGCACAAGAGGATATTAAGAAATATAAGCATTTTAAAAAGCTGAAAAAAATAAATATAAAGATTTTATATTAATATTTTACATTTGTACAAAGGAGTTAAATACACTTTTAAATACATGCAAACATCATTACAAACTAATGAAAAAGCATACAAAAACAATTGTCATTAGAATTGCTACATTTATGTTTTACAATCACCGAATTTAAATACCATTTTTTTACTAAACTGTCAAAAGACTTTCCATTGTCTTTATTTACACATTAATTTATCCCTTTTTAAAAACTACACTTTAGAAAAGACAATTAAATTCCACAGTGCCAAATGTGAGAATTTAGTAAGAGAAATTAAACCAGAATGTGAATTAAATCTCACCATGTCAAAAGTCATAAAATGTTACACCTATGCTTCATTGCATAGCCACTAATTATCAAAACATACCACCGTGTAGTAGTTAATAATATGAAATCAATCTAACTCATTTTTCTGTTTATAGCATTCATGATGCAAATATAAACACTGGGATATAAATGATAAAACAGATTAAGAAACAGGATCTCTCCTTGGACAAAGCAGATCCGTTCTTGTGAAACCACAATACCTCTCTCTCTCACCTCTCTTCATCCAAAATAATAGAGCCATCTTCTGCCACTTTTACTCGAGGAACTAGCAATGGCCCATCATCTGACTCTTCTTCCATTTCCTCATTATCATTAGCATCAAGAGTACTCTTATTTTCTTGCCTACTAAATGTAAAAGACACATTAATTCATAAAGCTGGGTTATACAGAAAGACCCTGTCTCAAAAAAAATAAATAAAAAGAAAGAAAGAAAGAAACAAGCTGGGTATGGTGGAACACACTTTTTATTCCAACTACTTGGGAGGGAAAAACAGAAGGATAATGGTTTGAGGTCAGTCATTTGCATTTGTTTTTATTAATTTCTTTTTTTTTTATTGTGCTGGGTGGGGGTACATTGTGTCATTAACAAAAGTTCTTAGAATGAATCAAATATATTATACTTGAATTCACCCCTTCCACCACTCTCCTTTATCCCCCCCCAATTTTATTAATTTCTTAAATGGTAAAGAAATACTTGAAAATTGTAGCTACTAGGTATAGATACTAATGTGAAAATGATACATGTAACAGCGCAATGTTTGAATCAGGTTCAAATCTCCTTGCTTATCATAATTTCTTTATGATATAAATATTCAAAATCCTTTTTGCTATCTTTTTGAAATACACAATACATAGCTGTTATCAATACACAGCACTATGCATAAGCACACCACAACTGCCTATTTCTATTTAATTACTGTAGCTTAGTTTGCAAATAATGACTCGAAATCTCACACTTCTCTTCCTGCTACATTGTCTCCAATACATTTTATTGAAGCAAAAATAAACTATAAGCCTGTAAAAACATAACCTATTTTTAAAGCTTCCAAGTTCTGCTTTAAAACAATGTGGTTTATGAGCCAGGCATGGTGGTACATACCTGTAATCACAGCACTTGGAAGGATGAGACAGGAAGATCCCAAATTAATGCAAGCCTGGGCTACAGAGGAAGTTCCAGATCATCTGAGCTATACAGGCATCCTATCTCAGAAAAAAAAAAAAAAAAAAAAAAAAAAACAGCCAGGCAGAGATGGCTCACACATGTAATCCCAGTTACTTGGGAGGTTGAGAGTGACAGTATCTGTGTTCAAGGCCAGCCCAGGCAAATAGTTCATGAGACCCCATTTCCACAATATCCAAAGCAAAATGGACTGGAGGGGTAGGTAGCTCAAGTGGTGGAATGTCTACTTTGCCAAGTATGAAGCCCTAAGTTCAAATCCCAATTACACCAAAAAAAATACATAGAACGCCTACCTATCAAGCACAAAGTCCTGAGTTCAACTTTCAGTACCGCAAAAATAATTTATTAATTGAAATAAAGTGGATTCCAGGCAAAATAGTAAACATTACTTAACTCCTGAAGTGACTGCTGAAAAACTAATGTTTCTGCTAGATTTTCACAATTCCCCACCTTGAAATACAAGGCTACAGTAACTTTCTGAAAAGTCTCTTGGTGAGATTTCTAAATATGACAGTTATAGATGTAGAAGGCATATGGCGCTTACAAAAAAAAAAAAAAAAAAACCCAAATCTACTGGCATCAAAACTAGACCAATTATTAGCTGAGGCATGGCTCAAATGGTAGAACACCTGCCTCAAAAGCATGAAGCCCTAAGTTGAAACCCTGGTACCAATATTTTTAAAAAAGAAGAGAAAGAGATTAAGGTAGAAAAACAGAAGGCATGAACCAATTTGAGTTATAATACACATATACACTGAAATGTCAAAAGAAACTTCCTGTAGAGCTATCTCAACCAAACGAAAATACCTTTTTTCGAAAACAGAGAAGGGGTAGGGGAGAGCAATGACCCAAACAATGTATGCACATGTGAATAAACGAATAAAAAACAAAACAAAACAAAACAGAGAACACACACATACAAAAAAAAAAAAAAAGAACAGGAAGGTAAGACAGGTCGTACCAGTGGGAGGGAGTATATAAGAAAGGATACAGGATGGTGAACGCGGCAGAAATATTATGTAGTCAAATGGAAAAATGGGACAGGTTGAAACTATTCCAGGAATTGGGAGGGGGAGGTTAAAGGAGAATGATGGAGGGGATAAATATATTGTAAGTCCTTTTATAAATGTCACAATGTAACCCAGTACAACAATAATATAAGTTAAAAAAAAAAGAAAAAAAATTGGGCAATTGCAGAACAGTATAAACAACATGCTAACTTTATGGGGGTTTTTTCAGGAGGCAGAGGCAAGTGGATCATGAATTCCAAGCTAGCCAGAACTACACTGAAAGAACTGCCTGAGGAAAGAGGAGAAGAAAAAAAGAAAAAGGCAAAATATATTCATGTTTCCCTAGATATGCATAGACAAGAAGTGGAATAATACATTAAAAAATTGGTAACATTTGTTGCCTCAAGGGAGAAAGAAAGGTAGCAGATCACTTGTCTGCCTTTTGGCTAAGATCAAGTGTATATCTATTCTTATCAGCTTAATATCTGATACGTCCTCTGTCCGAGGACAATATATTAAATGGATTTTTGGAACAGGGAGATGGAATAGGAGCTTGGTCCATCCACTCCACACATCAAGCTGGTATTACAGCACCTCCAGGAACAGTGCACCAAAAAAAAAAAAAAAGAAAGGTAGCAGAAAAAGAGAGGTATAAGACTTTTTTCAATTTTTTTTTTGATCCTTTGAATTTTGTACCATGTGAAAATACTATTTTTCTAAAACAAAGAATTCCTAATTCCAAAAGCTTTCATTTAAAATCGTATTAGTCAGTTATATAAGTATTACATAATAATGTCAGCTTTCACCCTTATTTAAATAAAGCAGCAACTTTTATTAAGTGAGTTTATTTTTAAAATCCAGTTTGACTATAATAGAAAGCACCACTGATTTCATTTTTTCAAAAAATATACCCAAGGGTTGCAAGTGTAGGTCAATGGTACAACACTTGCCTAATATGTGTGAGATCCTGGTTTGATCCTCAGCACCAAAACAAAACAAAAGAAAAAAAGATTCTTACTCTCTTGTCTGGACTGGAGTTGACGACTTTTCAATTTTCTTTTCTTGTTCCAATGAAGAACTATTAAACACAAAAAGGAAGATTTTTTTTTTTTAATAACTTGACTTCTATCTTATCAACTCTATCTGTAGGCAAGAAGGAAATTATCTTAACTCCCATTTATTTTCTTTTCTTATTTGTTTTTCCCATTTTTTTTAAAATACAATGTACTACAGCACTGTAGTTATAATGATGCAGTCCAACAATTAATTTTCAGTTGCATGTAGGGGATTAGTTCACTGTGTGCTTAACATGTACAAGGCCCTGGGTTCCATCCCCAGCACCAAAAAGAAAGAAAAAGAAATTTTTCAGCTAAAATTTTGTCATCAAGTACCAGTAATGTGTTAGGCCCTAAGCAGAAAATGCTCTTACCCTTAGTGAAGGAGGTTCTTCATCAAGGCATGAAGCAAGCTAAGTGGCTTGTCCCAACACCTAGCTGTCGAATTCAAAACCTAGGTTTCTGGCCCTTCTTTCAACTGGGCCAAAGACCTGGGGAGCCCAAAAAAGGCCTATACTGAAGAAAATGCTACCTCTACATGCTAAGCCATCAAAAACAATAATGAGCAGGTTTATCATAAGCCTCTGTGTCCCCACCCCAGGTTAACTGTAATTAAAGAAGCTTTGTTCTTGACAGATTTGTTAATGCAATTGTACGGCACTGATTCTTCTTTATTAGTACATATTAATTGTACACAGGGGTTTCATTGTGGTCTGTCCACATATGCATATAAATTGATCAAATTCACCCCCTCCATACTTTTATTTTTTTATTTTTTGGTGGCACTGGAGTTTGAACGCGGGACGTGACACTTTCTAGGCAGGCATTCCACCACTTGAGCCACTCTGTCAACCCAAATTTCCAAGGTTTTTTGTTTTTGTTTTTGCTCTTTTTGGTGATACTGAAGTCTGATGCTTAATACATAGGCACTTTACTATTTGAGCCAGGCCCCAGCTCCCTCTATACTTTATTAAAGTATGAGGGAGGACATAAAAATTAGATCCATCCCTTAGGTCAGCTTACAGTATATAAAAAATAAAAAATGTAATCTTGGAGTGGAAGTGTGACTCAAGCAGATCACCTGCTTTGCAGGTTGGAAGCTCTGAGTTGAAACTCCAATAACAAAGGAAAAAAAAAATTGCAATCTTAATTAGGGAAAAGTTGCTTAGTTGATTTCACTACAACTTGGTAATTAATACAACAAAGAAAACTTATTTTTACTCTCAGAGATAAAGGGCATCAATTACCATCCCCAGAAAGCAGTTACTTGGCCAGAGATGTTGCTCTAGCAGTAGACCATGTACTTAGCATCAGTGAGACACTGAGTTCGATCCCCAGCACAAAAAAAAAGAAACATCACTAATTCTTGTTAGAAAATTTTAGGGGTCAAGATGGCGAGCAGGCCTGCCATTTCAGCATCAGGCCGGTGGCTGGAAGGTATTCGAAAATGGTATTACAATGCTGCAGGATTCAATAAACTGGGGTTAATGAGAGATGATACGATAAATGAGGATGAGGATGTGAAAGAAGCCGTGAGAAGGCTTCCTGAGAACCTTTATAATGACAGGATGTTTCGCATCAAGAGGGCACTGGACCTGACCATGAGGCATCAGATCTTGCCTAAAGAGCAGTGGACAAAATATGAGGAGGATAAATTCAAATAGAAATTCTTTCTATTTGAAAGAAGTTATTCGGGAAAGAAAAGAGAGAGAAGAATGGGCAAAGAAGTAATCACGTAGTTGAAATCTGTGGATGCAGCCGAGCTTTTTATGAAGTTGGCTAAACTTGAAATGTACAACTTAAGAATTATTTGGTCTGCAGACATATTACTTTAAATAAATGACTGTTATAATCATTAAAAAAAAAAAAAAAAGAAAATTTTATCTATAAGGGTGGCATATGTGCTGTAAGTTTTTCCAACATGCTTTTGGAAAACATTAAACTATACTCTAAAATAAACAAAAATAAATATAAATTTTACTTACGTCATTGGATTATTATCTGGCAAGTAATATATGAAGTCTCTCATAGTCATTTTTGAACGATCTAGTGGCCTCTGACTTTCATTTATGGCATATTTGTTTTTCCATTGTTTCTACATACACAAACACACAGAAATACAGTTTTATCACCATAGAAAAATTGTAAATGCACTATATTCAAAGGTACAATTCACTATTATATTCATTGCTGTTATATCCACTATAAGTGCTTTATATCATTACTACTCCAATTGTGCCTCGTTTTAGGAAAAAATTTGTAAACTATTAAAAAGTTGTACCACATTACCCTTAATAGTTTTTAGGTTTTTTTTTTTTTTTTTTTTTTTGCAGTTCTAGGGGCCTACACCTTGAGCCACTCCACCATTCCTTTTCTGTGATGAGCCTTTGAGATGGGGTCTCTCCAACTAGTTGCCCGGGCTGGCTTTGAACCTTGATCCTCCTGATCCCTGCCTCCTGAGTAACTAGGATTACAGGCACAGCTACAGGTGCCCAGACAGTTTTTAAATATTAAAAACTAAACTGACTGGGACTGGATAAAAGCTCAATGTATAAAATCCTGTTTATTGAAGCTGGCAGTATAATTCAGTGGTAGGCACTTGCCAAAAACAAAGAAAATATAAATGAATACTTGAAAATAATTCGCCATTCTTCTCAATCATTCTATTAACAAAAGAAGATATTCTATTAACACCAGGGATGTTATTTTTATTCCCACAACTGCTACAGATGCCTATTTTTTTCCAAAGGATGCCATACTAACCTAAAATCAGAAATCAGCAAACAACATAAAAATTGTGATTTTTTTCCTCCCTTACCTTCTCTTTTCTCAGTTCTTCTTTTAACATTTCTCTGAGTTTCTGGGCTTTATAGATTCGGTATCTGTCTGAACATGGCAGTTTCTCTTTTGTTGGAACGGGATTTGACTGTGGAGTGCCTTGATTAATGGTACCTAAGGGATGAGACTGTGGAGGAACACTGACGCTAGGTTTAGCCAGACTAGAAGTACTTGATAATCGCTTTCTTCTCTGTGAAACAGTAGAGGATGATTTATTGGATTCTTCAACATTATTTTCACTACCAGTCTTTTCATCACTGTTGAAATTAAAAAGGAAAAAAAAAAGTGCAATGATTATTCTTCATATATGCTAGTTTTAAAATACAATCTCATAAAATCCAAATCAGTAACATCTCATTATCTAAAAAAAAAAGGAGGCTGAAGTTATAACTCAGTAGCACAGCATGGGCCTCGTGTGTGAGCCCCTGGGGCCCTGGGTGTTCAATCCCCAGCACCAATCCCTCCTCCCCAAAAAGAAAATCAATGACTTGAGATTTATGTTAACTACAAGGCAGAAACAAAATTTTTGCTTAAAACATTTTTAATGCATGTAAATTCTAATGAAAGCTATTAATCTTTCTCAAATTTCAGGTTCTTAAGGCAATTAGAGCACATGGTTATATGCTTAGCACCTTCAAAACAAACCAAATAATTAAGTTACAGAACAAAGCTTATTCTACTTTGATTCCTAGATAACTGAGAGGTTATTGCTTTTAGTTAAACAGTTTATAAATCACACTGACATTTCTCTAAAGAAGTCTAATTTACTGGCACTTTATCAACGTTAGATCAGAAAATCAAATATGCAAAATGGCAAACTTATGAAATATCTGTATGGCAGCATTTGAAGATATACATTTAGCTACAACAGCCAAACCAAATTCTGTTTCAGGCAAAAATCATTTATCTTCTATCAGGCAAAAACTCTCTACAGACGTCAGAATAATCTCTTCACTCTAAAAACATACTTAGTTACTCCAAATTGCATATTAAATATGGTACAGAATAAATAATTCAGGAATAACCTAAAAGCAAATTAAGACAAGAGAAGGGCTGGAAGCATAGCTCAAGTGGTAGAGCGCCTGCCTAACAAACTTGAGGCTCTGTGTTCAAATGCCAATACTGCCAAAAAAAAAATGGTTGCTGGTCAGTCAACATCATCACCAAATTAAGTCGAAAAGAGAACAGAATGCAAGATAGGAGAAATAGTTTCTAAAGTATGATAGCATAGTAGTGTAACTATGGTTGACAACAAGTAATTGTATATCTCCAAAAGCTAGTAGAAAGAACTTGGAATGCCTCCCAACACAAAGAAATGATAAACTCTTGAGGTGATAGATATACCAATTACCCCGATCTGATCATTACACACTGTATATGTATTAAAATATCACACCGTACCTCATAAATATGTACAATTACTAAAGCATCAATCAAAATGTTTTAACGCTAATGCTTAAAATAAGTCAAGAATGTAAAAGTCTACTTTTTTAGCCGTGCACTTGTTCTGCCCCACCCCCCCCAAAAAAAAAAAAAGAGGATAAATTCTTTTCTCAGAGCTGGAGATGTAGCTTAATGGTAGAGTGCCTGCCTAGCATGCACAAGGCCCTGAACTCATCTGCATATCCCCCCACCAAAAAGATCTAAGTTCTTATAACAATGAGACACATACACCTTTTATATTGTGCCCAACTATGTTCAATGCATAAAGACACACACCTTGTTGATTTTTACAACTAGTGAAGACCTACAAAAAAAAAAGGGTATAATTAAAAAACAAAATATGCTCTCTAAATGGCAACTAAGAAAACATATTCTAGAGCATAAATGTCTTTGGACGACAGTCTGTGGGCAATTTATTAAATTACCAATAATCATGATTCATAATGGTTAACAAAATCTCCAAGAACCTTATTAATTTAACAATGACCAATATTGGTACCTTCATTTTGGGTAAACATTGAAAACAGATTCAAGTAAGAAACATGGAAATTACTAAGCATCACTGCACTATCAAAATAACATCCTAGGCTGGGCACCTGTGGCTCAGACCTGTAATCCTAGCTACTCAGGAGACAGAGATGAGAAGGACTGGGGTTCGAAGCCAGCCCTGGAGCCTCAAGCAAATAGTTCAAGAGACATCTGGAAAATACCCAACACAAAAAGGGCTGGCAGAGTGGCACAAGTGGTAGAGCACCTGCCTAGGAACCAAGAAACCCTGAGTTGAAACTCCAGTGCTGCAAAAAAAATGTATATGTATACATATATCTTATATATACGTATATATGCATATATACACTTACACATATATATACGTATGTACGTATATACAGAGAGAGAGAGGAGAGATCCTATACCTAGCACCAGTTCAGATCTATAAAGGAAATTATGCCTCCCCCTAAAAAAAAAAATTTTTTTTTTCACCTTTCTGTCAGTACCACCTGTCACCCAACAGGGTTGGTTGCTTACTAGCTTCCTCATAAATATAGCATAAAAAGACCATCTCATTAACCAGTCGTGTTTTAAATTTAATTACACTACATTGCACTGCCACCTTTTTTCCCCCCCAAATAACTTTTGGGGGTCAAGTATTCTGCCATGAGTAGCACAAAGCAGTTTTTATGAGTCATCTCCACAATAAGGCCCCAAAGAAGGTAATATTATCCTGAATTAACAGTATAAATTCTGTGTGGGAAAAGTCCAGTTCCAAGATGATAGATTAAGTAGAAGGGACCTGAATCCAAACGTGGTACATGACGCTAAAGCTGTACTTCTTGTTCGAGAAACACGGTCAGCATAAACCAAAGCGAGCAACACGAATCTCCTTCCCATTGACATAAATCAACAGCGCCAAAGCAATGCTTGGGGTGTAGCTCAGTGATAGAGCCCTTGCCTAGCATGCGTGAGGCCCAGGGTTGCATTCCCAGCACCGGTGAAAAAAAAATACTGGTGATATCTTCTCAAAAATAAGTATTCTCGAAGTTTAAAAAAAAAATCTAATCCCCTGCAAATTACCACCCCCCCTCCAAAAAATGAATTAAATTCTCAAATGATAGTGTGGCGATTCTTGACTTCCGAATTGTTAGGCCTGGATTCACTCGTAACAAAATCTGCAGCAGGTACGCGGTGGGGGTCCGAGGGATGAACTGCAGTTAGGAGGGTCCATCGGGGTTCACGTGAAAGGCTTACTGCAAGCTAGGGAGTGAAGTTCACTCGCTCAGCTCTGTCCTCCTCTGCAAGGGCTCACCTGCTCCCGGGAGCCTTGCCGGAGGGCTCGGCTCCTCCGGAATCCACCGCAGGCACATCGGTGTGCTCCGCCGGCTTCGGAGCGGACTCGGCTGCGGGCTCCGGCGGCCTGGGAGACTCCTGACCACGCTGCGGATTGGGAGCGGTAGAGCTCCTGGCGCCTACTCCAGGCCTGACATTCGGCTTCACGCTTAGGCGTGCCCTGCGGAACATGGCGGAGCCAGGGGGCCCGGGGCGGCGGCTGCACCGCCGCGCTCAGCCCGGAGCCCCGGCCGCTGCCCAAGAGGGGGTTAGGACGTCCGCCCTCCCCACAAAGCCACACCACCAGCCCAGCGGGCGGCTACCGCAGTTTCGCGCCCCCGCCGCCTCCTCCTCTCTCCCGCCACCGCCTCTTCATGACCCTGCCACACTAATACCTAAGTTTCTCCCTCCTCCCGGCTCCCCCGCCCGCAGAGGGCGCCGGAACCGCGCGTAATCACCCAGCGCCAAGAAGTGATGTCAGACTCAAGGCGCCGGGAGCCATGGTAACTACCACGCTCTGTGGTTCAGGTTACCTGTGAGCCGGAAATTGAGGCGCAAAGATGCACGCTCTTCCCTCTCCAGGTGTCCTTAAAGATTAAAAAGCGAGGAAGGAGACAGTTAACTCATTGGCTTAAATCTTTTTGGTTTTTTCCTTCAGGTGCTGGGGATCGAATTCAGGCCCTCCCATATGCTGAACGTACGCACACTCTACCATTGAGCTACACACCCTCACCCTGTCAACTGCAACCGTTATGGAAACTATTAAAAAAAAATCACTGACCTGTTTTGTTTTTAGAGAGTCCTTAAGAACTTTTAAACAGTATGAGAGCAGTGCCTGCTCACCAGAGTATCCCCAGAACTTAGAAATTCTAAATTGAGTAGAACATAATTGGAAATTCTGGGTGAAGGAATTCGTAATGGTTATCTCCTGGGAGAAGATCTGCAAAACACATCAGGGAAGGAAGGCTATGCCCTTGTGTACTTTTAAATGTGAATATATTGCCCATTCAAAAATTACTACAGTCCAAAGTGTGCAAGTCAATGGGAATATTCTTAATCTGCTTCTAGAGGTAGTAATAGAGCAATAAGCAAGACATTCTGGGTTGGGGAGGAGAAAATAAAACCAACAAATGAACAAGATAATTAAAAAGGTATTAAATAGGGACTGTGAATGTAGCTCAGCAGAACACTTGCTTAGCATGCTCAGTCCCCAGCACCACACACACACACACACACACACACACACACACCCAACATATTAAATGTCATAAAAGAAATCAAAAGAGTGATTTAATAGAGAGTAGTGAAAGGCAAGCTTTATGATGGGAGGAAAAATAGCTAGTGATGATGTTGATGCTGTAGGCATGGAGCAGTGTTTGAACCTGTGATACAAATCCCCTGATTTATGAAGGAAAGCCTGACTTCCTTCTTGGAAGGAAAGTGGGAGTCTAGAGAACATCCTGTTATTTAGTAACAAAACATCAAATGAATAAAATCCTGAACTGGATGGAGAAATAGGTCATCTGGAAGGAAAATGAAAAGTTCTTTCCATAAGTAGGAAAGCGAGGCAGAAAGAAGAGAAAAGAGTAAAGATTCCTCTAAAACTGAGAACAAAATGTAGGTCTGTGAGAAGTAAGGAAGAAAGGAAAGAGAGAGAAGAAAGAAAGAAAACTTGAAAAAGAACATACTGAAAAAGATGTCTCAGGAATCTTGAAGCCACTGCTAGGACAATACAGCTTTGGACAGCATATACTGATACAAACTGAAGGCACAAGGCCTTCCCCAAAATGTTCAGTTCCACCTAAGATTCTAGTGTATTCCTCCGCTCCTTGTCAGTAAGGAGGTCCATAATGACTTTACTTTCCTTCTAGTAAAGGGATATGAATGAAGATACAATTTTTATTTTTTTTTCAGGAATTTGAACTCAGGGCCTCACACTTCCTAGGCAGGCCCTCTACCACTTGAGCCACTCTACCAGCCCTCGTGTGTGTGTGTGTGTGTGTGTGTGTATGTGTGTGTGTGTGTGTGTGTGTGTATGTGTGTGTGTTGGGTATTTTTTCATTTTGCTGGGGCTGGCCTCAAATTACTCTCCTCCTGATCTCTGCCTTCTGAGTAGCTAGGATTACAGGTGTGAGCCACTAGCAGCCAGCCTATTTTTACTATTAAATATAAGGTCACAAGACATTTGTTACACATCTGTTTGTGGAGTATGGAATAAATTCTTACTGTCAATATTAATTTTAAAAATTTCGGTTTCTCTGGCAGACACATTCAACATATTTTATGTGTATGATGTACATCATATTTAACCGCCCCCGCAACTAAAAAAATGATTTCAGCTGCTAGAATAAACATTGTAAATTGAGAGCACAAATAAAATTTTTAAAGCTTTTATACCCCTTGCTTTCCAATCTAACTCTGTCTCTCTTTAGCTGATTTGGGGGAAGAGTACGGGGAATTGAACCGAGGGCTCTTTGCACATGCTAGGCAACTAACTACCGCTGAGCTCCCCTACCATCCCTAGATGACCTCTCTCTCTGTATAAACCGCGCCAGAAAGTCAATCTTTTCACCCGACTGAATTCCTCAAGAAAAGGTTCATCACCGCATGGAAACAGACACTGATTTGTAAGCAGTATTAAGGGGGGGGGCCCCGTGGGGACAGTGGTTAGTGTGCAAGGCACGCTGAGGTTATTCTGAAAGCCTAGTGACCAATAGCTTAACATTAAGAGCCACCAAATGCTGGCGTTTTACTTAGAACTTCGCACACTCTCGCATGCTAGGCTAAGGCTCTACCCCGAGCCACGCCCCTAGCCCCACACAGGAATAGTTAGGCATGCACCTGTAGCAATTGTAGGGAGCCACAGCTTCTGTATAAGCTTCTAAAAGGTCATTCTGAGTATCCTGAATCCTGCCCTCTTCTTCCCCCCTCACAACCCAACGGCAGAGCCAGTAATCTAAACTACTACAGCTCTGCCCACCGTGGCAAGGGCACTGGGTACCAATCCATGTTAACTTCAATTCTCACTCTCACCAACTCCTAGCTGTTAAGCCAGTCTCTATTGCAAAATGAGAACGACGGAGCCTCCCGTGCAGGCTGGGTTGCTAGAATTAGGGTGGAAAACGCGTAAGGAGCCCACACTGCCATCCTCGGGCTTAACCATTCCTCTGTCACCTTCCTCCCCTTCCGCCTGTGCAAGGGAGTGATAGAAAGCGAACGTCCTCTGTGGAAAAGTTAAATATGTAGTGATTACTGGCATCTCTTATTAAAAACGGCTGGCTGCGCGCTGGTGCGTGGCACCGAGTGAGGAAAAGCCAACTATGCAGAAGCCGCCCTCGCAAGACGGCACAAACTCGCGCCGCACCCCGCGTGGCGGATTGCCGCGGAGCCGAGGCCCCGCCCACGAGGAGCGGCGGTCCGCCTCTGCGCATGCGCAGCGACTCGCCAGCCCCGCTGCCGCTCTGGTCCGTCCCGTGGGCGGGGCAGCTAGCTGACAGAACGGGGGCGTTGCCCCGCGGAGGGCCCGGGCGGGCTCTGCCTTCCAGATCGACGGGTGGCGGCGACCTCTGAGCTTGCCAGGAAGCTGTTGCCTTTCTGAGTCGCTTTCTTCCAGGATCCTTTCGGTGGTTGGCATGGCCCGTGAGTGTGCAGAAGGCTGGGGAAGCGGCGGGAGGCGTCGGGCGACAGTGCCCAGCCCCGATCCCTGAGCGGGGCGGAGGCTCAGGTGGCGGGGAACAAGGGCAGGTTGGGGAACCCCTGAGGGGTTCCCCTACCGGGGCGGGACCCCGGCTGCCGTCTGCAGAGTGAGGCACAGTTGGTTGCAGTCGGACCGGCGCCTGCCCCTCAGGTGGGAGTTTGCATGATAAAGAACACACCCCCAGGTGGCCCGCAAGAGTCCCTGCGAGGAGGCGGCGTGCAGCTGGGACCTAAAGTCTGCAAACCTAATGAGGAATGGGGCTCCACCTGAGCGTTCTCCCTAGTTCTTTTGTTTGGCCCTTGCAGGTGATGTTTTGTATTTGCACTTGCTAATTTGAGCTGGACTTGCTCAAGGTGTGATCTGGGTGTATTTTTCTTGTTATCTTTATATGCACCCCTCAAAAGCCAGAATTTATATTGGAATGCTGGCCGCGTGACATACCATTGGAATGCCTGTTTTAAAAGATCTGATACTTAGTACTCGTGAACACCTAGATTGGTATATTACTCTAAGTCCTTAAGTGTTTCCCTTTAAGCTTGCTCCTTGTCAGATCTGGGAACACCTCAGTGCAGTACTCTGCTTGCTTGTATATTAAAAAGAAAACTTCAGCCGGGCGCGGGTGGTTCACTGTGATCCTAGAGGCAGAGATCAGGAGGATCGCGTTTCGAAGCTAGCGCGGGACAAACAGTTCCCGAAAGACCTTGTCTCGTAAATACCTACCACAAAACAGGGCTGGCGGAGTGGCTCTGGGGTTTGAACTCGGGACCTACACCGTGAGCCACTCCGCCAGCCCTGTTTTGTGTTGGGTATTTTGGAGACAGGGTGTCTGGAACTGTTTACCCAGGCTGTGTTGGAACCGGTATCCTCCTGATTTGTCTTCTGAGTAGCTAGGATTGCAGACGTGAGCCACTGGCGCCGGGAAAATCATAAATAATTTTGAGGATGAGAAAAAAGCATGACTGTTTATCTTTGTAGGTGGAAATCAACGAGAACTTGCTCGCCAGAAAAATATGAAAAAAACCCAGGAGATTAGCAAGGGAAAAAGAAAAGAGGATAGCTTAACTACATCTCAGAGAAAGCAGAGGTGAGTGGTACAAATAGAATTCTCAAGTCATTGAAGTTTTGATTGAAGTCCCATTTTGAAGAATGAAAAGCACTTTTTAAACCCATGCTAGAACTGGACCTAACCAACAGAAAGGGTAACAGTAATGAATATCTATTTCATGCCAAGCATACTAAAACCATATGGAGTAGTCATCATTTCATTGTGTGGATGAAGAATTTAAAACCCTGAAACTATCATTTGTTTTGCAGACAGTCTTATGCAGTTGTGCAAATCTCTAATCTCAACTACTTGGAAGGTAGAAATAAGAGAATCTTGGGTTAGCCCAGACAAAAAAAAGTTAGCAACCAGGCACAGATGGCTCACATCTGTAATCCCAGCTAATTTGGGAAGCAGAGATAGGAGGATCTAAGCCGGAGGTAAAAAAATTAAAGTGTGAGACCCTACCTAAAATATAAGCTAAAGCAAAAATAGTCAGGGTATGGCTCAAGTGATAGAAGGCTCAAACATGAGAGCTTGACTTCAAACCCCAGCACTACCAAAAATTAAAAATTAAAAAAGCAATAATAATAATATGTAAAGCATTGTTAGGTTTTACATATAAAACAGTTTCAAAGCAAACAACTTACACAAACTAGTCTGGATGACAAGTGACTCACTTGTAGTGATAACTGTTCTGAAGGAAATACCAAAAAAGTATATAAAGGTATATTCTGAAATCCATTGGATTGGAGAGAATGCATGAACACAGCCTTGATACAAGGCCTCGGGTTACAAATAGAGCTGGTGCAATAGCTCACTTCTGTAATCCTAGCTACTCGGGAGGCAGAGATCAGGAGAATTGTAGTTCAAGGCCAGACCTCACAAAAAAGTTCTCCAGACCCCATCTCAATAAAAACTGAACACGGTGATGTGCACCTGTCATGCCATCTATGCAAAAAGTATGAATAGGAAGACCACAGTCCAGGCCTGCTGAAGCATAAATGTGAGATCCTATTCAAAAAGCACCTAAAACAAAAAGGACCAGGGGTGTGGCTCAGGTGGTAGAGTGCCTGCCTAGCAAATGGAAGGCCCTGAGTTCAAACCCCAGAATCACCACAAAAAAAAAAGAGAGAATTTCTACTACAAGTGGAGCTGGAGGTGTAGCTCAGTGGTAGATGCTTGCTTAGCATAGTCTCAAAGCACTGAGTTCCTTCCCCAGAACCATCAAAGAAGGCCCAAAAAAAAAAAAAAAATTGGCTGGAAATATAGTTCAGGAGTATCAGGAGTAGAGTATTTCCCAAGCATGTATAAAGCTCTGGGTTCCACCCCCAACGCCTCAAAAGACCTTGTGTGACAATATAAAACTGCCACAAAAGTACTTTAATGAGCTGGGTGTAGTGAAGCTATAATCCCAGCACTCAGGAGGTAGAGTCAGGAAGAACCCAAGTTTGAGGCTATGTAGTAAGACTGTCTCAAATAAAATTTTTTTTTTTTTTTAATGAGACTGCAGCTTAGATTTAAAAAAAAAATAATGATAAGGACTGGAGGTGTGGCTCAAGGGTAGAGTGTCTGCTTTGCAAGTGTGAAGTCCTAAATTCAAGCCCAAAAAAAAAAATGTTAAAAAAAAAAAGTGCATTCATGTTTCTTTAAAAAGAAGGGGAACCTGGGCACCTGTGGCTTATGCCTATAATCTTAGTTACTTGGGAGGTTGAGATCCAGAGGAACTTGGTTCAAGGACAGCCCAGGCAAATAGTTCATGAGACCCCATCCTCAAAATACCCAGAGCAAAATGGACTGGAGTCGTGACTCAAGTGGTAGAGTATCTGCTTTGCAAGTGCTAAATGCAAACAAACCAAAGGTTCATTTAATTCTAATTTTTTTTTTAAAGTACTTCAGCCTAGGGTCACTAACTTAGCTCTACCATTGACTACACCCCCAGCCCCATATTCTAAAATTAAATTTTTTTTGTCCATGTGGACCTTGGAGGTTAGGCAAATAACTTCTTACATATGCTTCAGTGTGGCTTAGCACAGGTTCTTAATCCTGCATGTGACAATAATCTGGAAAACCCTGAGCAACACTATATAGCACCCTACACCCTGTTCTGATTTAATTGATCTGAGGTTGGACCTTAAACACTATAAGGATGGGGACACAACTCAAGTGGTAAAGTACCTGCCCAGAAGTCTCGGGCCCTGAGCAAAACAAACAAACAAACAAAAATGCTAGATAAATTTTATTTTACCTAGTTTATAAGTTAAACCTGATTCAAAAATTGCTCCCCTGGTAATTCTGATGTGTGACCACAGTTGAAACTCATTGATTAATGAAGCAGAAGACTGTAAGTATTGCTTCACACTTTCAGTGAAAGTTTATTATTTATTTATTTGTTTATTTGTTTATTTTAGTGCTTCTGGGATTTGAACTCAGGGCTTCTAGCCTGCAAAGCAGGTACCCTGCTGGTTGGGCCACATCGCCAGTGCATTTTGTTCTGGTTATGTTACATTAGAGGTGGGGGCCTCTCAAACTATTTGCCTGGGCTGGCCTTGAACCAAAATCCTCCTGATCTCAGCCTCTCAAGTAGCTAGGAATACAGGCGTGAGCCACTGGCGCCCAGCCCAGTGACAGTTGTTATTACAGCAATGAGCTTTGCCTTAAATTTGTTTACTCAGCTTGGAGTAAAAATGGCATAGCTCAGGAACTCTGAAATACTTTTTTTTCCTTTTTTCTGGAACTGGGCTTGCAGAGCAGGCAATCTACCACTTCAGCCATACCTCTAGTACTTTTCTGATTATTTTTGGAGAGATGGAGTCTTGAGAACTATTGCCCAGGCTAGCCTCAAACCACAACCCTCCAAATCTCAGCCTCCCAAGTAGCTAGGATTACAGGGATGAGCAACTGGCACTTAGCTCTGAAATACCTCTTGCTTGGTTCCAAAATAACCATTATTTGCTGAATAGTCCCACCTTACAAAGCAGTTTGGTAGATGTTTTATATGTATTGTCCCTATTCATCACAGCCCTTAAAAGTAGTTTTGAGCCAGTAGATAGAATAGGAAACTGAAGCTCTGTTCTGTTTTTGTTTTGTTGTGTTTGAGACAGTGTCTTGCTGTGTAATAACCTTCAAGCTAGCCTTGAACTCACTATATAGCCCAGGATGGCCTTGAACTTGAGATCTTGTTGACTGATCTTGAGATCAGTCTTCCCAGTGCTGGGATTAACAGGTGCTCACCACCACCCTTGTGGCTCTGAACTACAGTGACATTACCAAGGTCATACAACAAGCACAATAGAGATCAGCTTTAAACAAAAGTAGCTACCACTGTTCTTTTCTACCATACCTCATTACTTTGTAGTTGTCTTGTTTTTCCTTCCTTATTTTTGCCGTTGATTTGCAGAAATGTCCTCCTGTCTTGGAGACTTTAAAATCTAATTCTAAATCTATGCAATAGCCACTTAGGAAAGAGCTTGGACTTTGGAACTGGACAGACCTTGTTATTTCTGTGATTTGGGGCAAGTGATTTAGTTCCAAGGTTTTCTTTTAATCTGAAATGTGGGAATAATGAGTCAGTTGTGGAATTTAAGCCAGAGCTGGTGGTGCTTGCCACGTAGAAGGTGTAGAATATAGCCTTTTAAAATATGGAGCTCTAGGTATAACTTAATGATAGAGGACTTATGCATGAAGCCCTGGTTCTTTCCATAGGACTGCTAATTTTTTTTTTCCTGTGGTACTTGGGGTTGAACTCAGGGCTTCACACTTGCTAGGCAGGTGCTCTACCACTTCAGTCATGCTACCAGCCCTTTTTGCTTTCGTTATTTTTTGTTATTTTTTAGATAGGGTCTCATTTTATACCCAGGCTGGTCTGGATTATGATCCTATTTGTGCTTCCCTGAACAGCTGGGATAACAAGTATGTGCCACAACACCCAGCTTTTTTTTTTTTTTTCCAGCACTGAGGTTTGAACTCAGGACCTCACACTTGCACTCCACCACTTGAGCCACACCTTCTTCACTGTTTTGTGTTGGGTATTTTCGAGATAGGGTCTCATGAAATGTTTGCCCAGGCTGGCTTCAAACCATGACCCTCCTGATCTCTGCCTCCTGAGTAACTAGGATTGCAGATGTGAGCCACTGCACCCAGCTGTGCCCAGCTTTTATTGATTGACATGCATCCTGTCTAACTTTTTGCCCAGTCTGACCTCGAACTACCATCTTCCCAATCTCCAGACTTGAGCCACCAGTCCCACCTTAAATAAATAAATTTTGGGGGGGTACTGAGTTTTGAGCTCAGGGCCTCATGTTTGCTAGGCAAGAGTTCTACCAATTGAGTCACTTGGCCAATCCAATAATTTTTTAATTAAAAATGTCTTATGAGCTCATGATCACCATTATAACATATGAAGATTTAGCCAGAAACACAAAGGGTTGAGAAAGTTCCGTGGACATCCTATATTTCCTTAGAGTAATCCAGTTTTCATCACTAGCTATTGGGCTTTGAGCTTTTTAAGAAACAGAACTATTATCCCAGCACTAGAGAGGTAGAGGCAAGAGGATCACAAACTGAAACCTGCCTGGGCTATAGCAAGACCCTGTCTCAAAAAAAACAAAAAAAAAAAAAGGAAACAAAGACAACATTGAATTGTTTTATAACATCTATGCCTATCTTATGTATCAGTCAGGATATCTAGAAGACTTCCTAAATGCCTCCTTCAGGAAAAAATAGAGTGAATTAACCTTGTTAACAACACAGAGTAATTGCCATTAATTCTGGCAGATCCCTGCCTAGGATCAGACACTTGAATAATATTCATAGCTATGGCTCAGAACAACCTTGATACATATGCTCCAATTTTGAAAGAGCTTAGAGACTATTTGCCCAAAGTCATGAGGACAGTACGGTGGTAATCAAAGGAAGATCTGACTTCAAAGCCTTTCCAATCTTCGCCTTTTCGTTCTGTCTCCACCCACAAAAGCCAACACATATGATTCATATCTCTTCTAAATTGTCTTCTAATGTAGTAAATGGGCTATGTACAGAAAACAAATGAAAACATAAAATCAGCCTTTCTGTGACAATTTCTAAACTTTTCCCCATTATAGAGACTCTGAGATCATGCAACAAAAGCAGAAGGCAGCTAATGAGAAGAAGTCTATGCAGACAAGAGAAAAATGACGACGGATCCTTGGGACACCTGAGTGCTTCTGCCAATGGGGCAGCATAAGCTCTAAGAGCAAGATTTCTTACATAAGCAGTCATTACACATGTTATAACTTATCCTTATAAAACTGCCTATTAAACTGTACTTTTCAGCCCAACTTAGTGTGATGATTTAGAACCATTCTTCAAAGAATAAAACACCATGCATGTGACATATTGGTGAATATTATTTTTTATCACCAGTGAACATTCACATTTATATAAACATTTATATGTGAATCAGAGTAGGATCTCATACAAATCTAGAATCTTTGTATTAAGCTTTATTACAGTAGATCTTTATAGTGAAGTTTATCATATAGGGCTGGAGGTATGACTCAGTAATAGAGGGCTCGCCTAGCATGCACTAGGACCTGGTTCAACCTCCTACATTACACACACACAAAATTATTGTATAAAAGAATTTAAGTTCCTTTGTATAATTTGCTGTACAATAAACTGGTTTGCTTGAAGAATTTACAATAGTACAAACCACCTGGAATACCAACTAAGTAGATATAAACTAAATAAGAGGATTCACTAAGAGACCGAGAGTTCCACTTCTGGTTTAAAAGGTTTTTTGGGGAGGTTTTTGGCTTTTTACTGGGGTCTAAACCCAGGGGATCACACTTGATAGGCAGTGTGTATTGGGTATTTTTGAGATAGGGTCTCACTTTTGCCCAGGCTGGCCTTGAACCTCAGTCTTCCTGTTCTGTGCCTCTTGAGTAGCAAGGATTACAGGCATGAGCCACTGGTGCCCAAGGTGGCCTCCAACTCATGATCTTCTTGCCTCAGCCTTCTGAGTGCTTGGAGGCATGCACCACCATGCCTGGCATAATTTTTTTTTAACCTTTTTTTTTTTTTTTTTTTTTGTGGTACTGGGGCTTGAATTCAGGGCTTTCACCTTGAGTCACTCCACCAGCCCTTTTTGTAACAGGTGTGTTTTCGAGACAGAGTCTCACGAACTATTTGCCCAGACTGGTTTCAAACCATGATCCTCCTTATCTCTGCCTCCTGAGTAGCTAGGATTACAGGCATGAGCCACCGGTGCCCAGCTAAATTTTTTTAAATGTCATATTTTCCTCTGTTCTGAGTTTCTTCAAAAAGTTGTGAATTTAGGGGACCAACTATAATCCCACCTCAGTAGGCAGAGATCAGGAGGATCTTGGCTTAAGGCTAGCCCAGGCATAAAGTTAGCAAGCCTGATGTGATCCCAGCTACTCCAGAGGCCATAGGTAGGAAGATCAATGTTTGAGGCCAGTCCCAGGCAAAAATGCCAGAAGCTAGTCACAAAATAAGTGAAGCAAAAAGGACTTGGGAATGTGGCTCAAGTGGCAGAGCACCTGCCTAGCAAGTGTGAGGCCCTGAGTTCAACTCCAGTTGCTGGGAGAAATTTTTTTTCAAAAAAAGCATTATATAAACAATTCCTTATGTGCTAAACTAGAATAAGCTAACCCCATTCATAGAATTATGAATGCACAGTTTTGACCAAGGGTGGTCAAAAAAAAAAGTCATAGACTGGCAGAATTGCTTAAGTAGTTGAGTACCTGTATAGCAAGCAGCAGGATCTGAGTTCAACCACTGGTACCACTAAAAACATTTTTAAAAATTAAGCTTAAAAAAAATTTTTTTTTTTGATAGTACTAGAGCTTGAATTCAGGACCTTCACCTTGAGTCACTGTACCAGCCCTATTTTTGTGAAGGGTTTTTCAGGATAGAGTCTCTTGAACTATTTGTCTGGGCTGGCTTAACCACGCTCCTGTTGAAATTGTGTGACCTCCTGAATGCTTCCTTGATCTTCATTTTGTAAAAGTCTGTCTCCCCAAAAGCAAAAGTTACCCAAACATCAAGATAAAAGTGAATGTGCTTAATTGAACTGATCAAGTGAAAATTTGAGATTTTTTGAAAGGCAGCATGTCTTTATTAGAAGTTGGGTAGTGTCAGGGGAAAAATGAAGCTTCCGCAGTACAGCACAGAACTACATGCATCCTGAGCGTGTGGTTTTTCCTCAGTGGGTCTCCTTGGAACCATAGACCCACCAATACCTTAAATCTACTCTGTGTATCAGTGAGGAAAGATTTCCTTGCAGCATAGTTTTATTGAGCATTTGCCCATACTTGTGTATCTATAAGAAATTTGCCTACCAACTTGGTTATAATCAAGAATACAATCTTATTACTTTCCTTTGATAAATATATATTACATGATAAAGACTTTTTGTTTTGTTTTGAAACTAAGTCTTACTATGTAGCTCAGCCTGAAACTTGTGGGTCCTCCTGCCTCAGCCTCCTGAGTGCTAGGATTACAGGGGCAAGTGCCATCATGCCTAACTTATGACAAAGACTTGCCAAAAAATTTTGTTATGGTTGAACTGGCAGAGAGGCTCAAGTGGTAGAGCACCTGATTAGCTAAGTGTGAGGCCCTGAGTTCAAACTCCAGTGCAGCCAAAAGAAAAAGAGTTTAAAAATTTTTTTGTTATTGTTCGAAGACTCATTTGACTTTTTACCACTTAAGGTAACTAATGAATGGATGCTTAATACAGAGTTAAAGATTTATTCTGTAGCAAGGAGAAGGGCCAGAAAAGAAACAGACAGGCTGTGTTCCGATAATGAGGCAGGGGGAAGGGATGGCAAAGCAGAGAGATAAAGAATTGATACATGAAGAAGGTCACATAGCACTGGGGAAATGAAATAGCCAGTAAAGTCACATGTAGCCATATGTGGGTTAAGCTTTCCTTTTTGCTTCTGTAACCCGCTTGCAAGGGTATATAAGGTGAGACCTCTTTGTTTTCGGGGCTCAGACTTTGGACATGAAACTGCTGAGTCTGTGCTGGCACAATAAAACGTTGCTTCCTGCTAAACTGCCTCAGTGTCCTGTATCTCAGCTTGAGATTCCTGCAACATCTCCCTTGTCACTGGGGTGCATCCCTGGACCTCCAGGAGATGATCCCACCAAGCAACAATGAACAGCTTGACCCAGAGGAGAGACTCATCCTCCCGGCGAGTCAGGATGAAGGCCTCAGATACACAACAGAACCCGGAGAGGTGTAGGAACCAACAAGGGGATGGAAGCACCACTCATCAGATTGGTAAGAACCTGAGTTCAAATTCAGGAGGCAGAAGGGGAGACTGATCACTTCCCAGAGACTACTAGTAACCTCCTTTTGGGGTGAAGCCGTGTCCTTCAGGTTCAGGGAGTGGGGCAGAAGTACTGTGCTATGTGAAAGTGTGTGAGACACCCCCAAGAGTTAGGGGGGTTGAGCTTTTCCAGGGAAATAGCCACAACTGAGGTTAAGGGATGGATAATAAAAATGCAGTTCCAAAGAGGAGAACAGATGCATCATCCACCATAAAATACACTGGATAACCCTCTTGGTATAATTTTAAAGTTTTTCCTCTTTTTGAGAGTACACTCTAATTTTGTGTGTGTGTGTGTGTGAATTTGTTTAAAGCACTGGGCAAAATTTAATTTGCTCCTTGGATTCCAGCTCATCTTATGCGTGCTTAAGTTGACATTTTTCCCTGGCTTACTTAATTTATAAAACTTTGATGTGTGTGTGTGTATGTGTGTATGTGTAAGCATCTTCAAAATGGATCTTAAACTGCTGTTATAAGGGTAATGTGATATTCAAGGTAACAAAAAAAAAACAGGGTGTTTGTTTTAAAGTTCTCTGTCATACATCGATCTACCATTTGATCCAGCAATACCACTCTTGGGGATATACCCAAAAGACTGTTACTCCAGAGGCACCTGCACATCCATGTTTATTGCGGCACTATTCACAATAGCCAAGTTATGGAAACAGCCAAGATGCCCCAGCACTGACGAATGGATTAAGAAAATGTGGTATCTATACACAATGGAATTTTATGCAGCCATGAAGAAGAACGAAATGTTATCATTCGCTGGTAAATGGATGGAATTGGAGAACATCATTCTGAGTGAGGTTAGCCTGGCCCAAAAGACCAAAAATCGTATGTTCTCCCTCATATGCGGACATTAGATCAAGGGCAAACACAACAAGGGGATTGGACTATGAGCACATGATAAAAGTGAGAGCACACAAGGGAGGGGTGAGGATAGGTAAGACACCTAAAAAACTAGCTAGCATTTGTTGCCCTTAACGCAGAGAAACTAAAGCAGATACCTTAAAGCAACTGAGGCCAATAGGAAAGGGGACCAGGAACTAGAGAAAAGGTTAGATCAAAAAGAATTAACCTAGAAGGTAACACCCACGCACAGGAAATCAATGTGAGTCAATGCCCTGTATAGCTATCCTTATCTCAACCAGCAAAAACCCTTGTTCCTTCCTATTATTGCTTATACTCTCTCTACAACAAAATTAGAAATAAGGGCAAAATAGTTTCTGCTGGGTATTGAGGGGGGGAGGGAGGGGTGGAGTGGGTGGTAAGGGAGGGGTGGGGCAGGGGGAGAAATGAACCAAGCCTTGTATGCACATATGAATAATAAAAGAAAAATGAAAAAAAAAAACATAAATTCTCTGTCATAACTGCTTAAGCTTTTACATATAAATATGTAAACAAATTGAGGGATGGTTCTTATTATAAGGTAAATTAAAAAATTATTACTCTGTCTACTGCTACTTTTAAGAAAATGTGTTTTCAAACTTATTTCAATCAGGTCTCACTAGGATACAGGCATTCAGGGGTTAACACTCTGGCTTAAACCAGAGGAGAAAAAAGAAAAAGAGGGGGGCCACAACCTGTGACTGGGGTTTTATGGATTTACTAAAACTGTTCTCCACCCCCAAACTGATTTTTAAAAATCTAAGGTTTTACTTCAAGAACAACGACTAAATTAACATGCATGTATAACCTCATAGAGCTGTGATGTTGTTGCTGGTTCCTTATACTAAATATTCATATTTTTCAAGTATATCAAGCCTCCTAAAACACAAAATTTAGATAAACACAGTAACAAAAACTTAATAGTATGAATATACCATTCTGTTAGTTGCTAAGTTGTCCATAAAAATTTTATCCATGGCTCTTTTAAGTTTTTGTCTTTACAGTTCTGATCCTTCTGGGACATTTACAATCATGTCTATAAAAAATGACTCTAATAAGTACTTACATGTCAGGTTACATATCAGGTTAGCTTT